ATGACCACAATTGTTCTTATAGTCCACTTTTCCACATAAATATTATGCTGATTATGTTGACCTGAAGAAGGATGCCTTAGTTTGTCGGTCCTACAAAGATTAAACTAATCTCCCAAACTTTATGGTCATTCACATCGAGGGTTATCCATCTCTATGATTCGGAAATAGGGGAGGCTCTTTTTGAGCACTCTAAGTTTACGAGCTCTTTTACAACGGGCGCTATTCAAAAAGAACAGTGATATTTTTCCTCGCTAGGTAAATTCTTTTGTTTTGATCGTTTATACGTATCAAAACTACTGTTTTTCACTTTAATTGAGTTTCTTTCAGTTAAAGTATTCGATTAGATTATCGTTTTTGTTTCTAAAGTAGTTTTGTTGCCAGTACTTTTGAGTACTCTGTTTTTTTTTATATATAGTATCTGTTAGTACTTTTGGTTCTAACGATCCACAGTTTTCCACTTTTTTTGGTCATAGATTATTTTTGTCCCTGAGTATTTTTGCATCAAGTTCTTTCTAAAAAAAACCGTGTTTAAATGACTGGACAGTGCAAAAAAAGTAATTGCCAACGCCTAGGCTGTCGTTATCCTGTTGAAAGCGGCATGCAGTGCGATGAGTGCAAAGGATGGTACCACGAAGTTTGCACAAATTCAACGCCTGCAGCTTTCAAACGGTTCAGCAGGAATGGTTGCGTATGGCTCTGTCAACAGTGCTGTTCGGATGCTAACAGCTTGCTAACCGAGGCCATCTCATTGGTTAGTGCTGCTAAAAAATGTTTTGGCAAGAGTGGTCGCGACACATCATCAAGTACTCGCTCCGTTGACACGCAAATTGGCGTGAGGCAAACTAAAGTGAGTTCGAAAACAGATGACTCGCACCGACCAAAGGAAGGAGAACAGTCCCCGAAGAGTTCTGCTCGCACAAAAATCTCAAGGAAAAAAGTTTCTTCTGTCTCACGTCCTCAAAATGGTATCCAAAAAAAAACACATGGAAGCCGCAACCGCAAGGCTCGATCAGTTTCTAAAGGGACACCATACCTGACCTCCCAAGTCATCGAAAACCCTTCGGAATCCCACAGTATGTTTGACGCGACTGTGGTTGCTTCTCCAAGCAACGTTGACGAATGGGTACAGGTAGTGAGGAAGAAACAGAAAAACGATATGAAAGGGAACCCTGCCCCCACAAAAGAAGTGGAAAAATCGAAGGCTGATCACAGTAACAGATCAGTCATTTTTCATAGGATCAAAGAGAGCGAAAGCCCCGAACCAAAAACTCGTTTTGAGCATGACATTGTCCTGATGAAACAGCTACTTAATCAACTCATGTCTCAAAATATCTCCGGAGTCACCTTGCTAAAGGTGTATAGACTAGGTAGTTTAGCGAACTTGAAGCCTAATCAATCTAGACTGCTTAAAGTAGTTTTCAAATCTTCGAATGAAAGGGACTTAATTTTGCAGAATGGACATAAATTAAAGGGTTCGGGAGTTTTTATCCGAAAGGACTTGCCGTTGGCAGACCGTGTAAAAAGACGGGAAGCCGAAAAAGAACTACAAATGAGGTTAGACGCTGGCGAAAAGGGCCTGAAAATGGTAAAATTTCGGGTTGTGCGGCTTCGTCAGAGAATGATGCCGAAGCCACTCTGGGTGGAACACGAAGCCACTTATATAGGCTTCGGATCTGTTACACTAATGCCCGAAGCTTGCTCAATAAGCTATCGGAACTAGGTGAACAGATTGACTCGACAAAGCCAGACATAATCGCAGTCACAGAAACCTGGCTGACACAGTCTATAGATAATATGGAACTCGATTTTGAGGGTTTTACTTGAGTAAGGACCGACAGAATACATAAGCGTAAAGGAGGGGGAGTAGCTTTATTCATTAGGAATGCTATCCCGTTTGTCATTATTGATAGTGTATCCCATGATAGTGGGACGTGTGAATTGGTTAGTTGCCGCTTGAAATTCAAGGGGCAAGAGCTGCTAATTGGTTTGGTCTATCGCAGTCCAAGCTGTGAGGTAAATGATGTCCTATTAAACAGGCTCAAAAATTGGTCGCGAAGTGGTCGATGTCTAATCCTAGGGGACTTTAATGCACCTATGGTAGACTGGGGAAATCTGCGAATCGAATCATCAGATAATTCCTTCGAGCAGGAACTAGTTGATGCGGTTATAACATGTTCCCTAGTGCAACATGTGAAAGAAGCGACTAGGTACGACCCGGACACTGAATCATCCTTACTAGATCTTATAATAACTCACTACGAGGATGACGTTGCGAACCTCCTTTACATGCCACCCCTAGGCAAAAGTGATCATGCAGTTTTAACTTTTGACTTCCATATAACTGTCAATCACGAGCAAGCGTCAACTCAATCCAGACCTAACGTCTGGAAAGCAAGCATACCAGATATCATGCACTCGGCATCATTGGTAGATTAGACAATAGACCCAGAGTCCTCAATTGAAACGGCTTGGGATGCATTCCGAAATTTATACTTAAAAGTTCCCGCACCCCACATTCCTTGGACTATACCAAGAGGGCCAAGAAACTCCCCACCTTGGTTCAATAGGGATGTCCTCATCCTTCTTCGTAAGAGAAGAAAAATGTGGGATAGATTTGGGTTAGTGAGGACTGATGAGACAAAATCTCAGTACCAAAAAGCTAGGAATACCTGTGCCTCGACCCTCCGTAAGTCTAGAAAGCTGTACGAAGGAAAAATTGTTAAGGAATCCATAGAACGTCCTAAACGCCTGTATTCCTATATAAACCAAAGGACAAAAGAAGAGTAATTATTCCTGTACTATGGGGAGACAGTACTGCCGCATCATCAGTGGAAGATGACTTTGGTAAGGCTTAAGTGTTCTCAAACTACTTTAGCAATGTATGTACCATAGAAGCACCCTTCCCGTCAGCGCTTACAAACCCCCCCACACATACACTGGATAGCGTGACCATAAATGAACTCGATGTCTTTGATCTGCTAAATAAGCTTGACATAGGCAAATCCATGGGGCCCGATGAATGGCATCCTAGGCTACTAAAGGAATTATCTAACTTCGTTGCGAACCCTTTAAGTATATGCTTTAAGCTATCCGTTACGCAGGGTCGTTTACCAAAAGACTGGAAGAACGCCATAGTAAGTCCTGTCTTCAAAACAGGTACGAAACATAAACCTGAGAATTAACGACCCGTTAGCCTAACTAGTGTGGTTGTTAAAATCCTAGAAAAGATTATTCGAAAAGAGCTGTTTAAATACCTCGATGTAAACCGAATCCTCTCGGAGAAGCAGCACGGTTTCAGAATAGGTTATTCTTGTCTCACTAACTTATTAGTCACTCGAGAAAGCTGGTGCGCTCTTAAGGACCAAAGGTTACCTGTAGACGTGGCTTACATTGATATCAGCAAAGCTTTCGACAAGGTTCCGCACAACCGGCTGTTATATAAGCTAAAAATGTCGGAATCGGAGGCAATCTATTGACGTGGATAGAAGACTTCCTTGTTGGGCGCCAACAAAGAGTACGGGTAAACTCAAAATTATCTAGCTGGGAAACTGTGCTTAATGGAGTGCCCCAGGGTACAGTTTTGGGGCCAGTGCTATTCCTCTTGTATGTAAATGACCTTCCTCGCTTACTATCATCATCGGTCTTGCTATATGCTGACGATGTCAAGATATGGAGAACGATACGATGTAAGCATGATAGCTTAGAACTCCAAAATGACCTGGAGAAATTATCCGAATGGTCTCATACATGGCAGCTGCTGATAAATACTTCCAAGTGTGTTGTGATGCATATCGGTCATCAAGGTTCAGATACATACACGATGAATAACACTGAGCTACCTGTTGTCCAGACACACAATGACTTAGGAGTCATCGTTAGCCAAGATCTGAAGACTACTGCACACTGCCGTGCAATAGCCGCCAAAGCTTTTAGAACTTTATGGTCAATACGTAGGGCTTTTACTCATGTCGACGCTCAAACGTTTTTTGACTTTGTATACAGTGTTCGTACGCCCTAAACTTGAGTACTGCATACAAGCGGCTAGCGCCTGCTTAAAAAAACAGTGAGCTTTTGGAAAAGGTCCAGAGAACAGCAGCTAAGCTGATTCCCGTAATAGAGAAGCTTCGTATGATGCTCGACTGGCAAAGCTAAACCTATTCCCTTTGTCATATCGTAGAACTAAAGGCGACTTGATTACAGTTTTCAAATTGCTTAGTGATAAATTTGCACCTGATATGCCCTCATTCTTCCTGTCTTCCAAAACAGAGAATTTACGAGGACACTCCAAAAAAGTTCACAAGCCCAGAACAAATTACTTGTCAGCTGATTATCGACTTTCCCATCGAATCATCAACGAGTGGAACTCATTACCTCAACATGTGGTCGAAGCTCCATCCGTAGATTCTTTCAAAAGAAAGTTGGATCAACTGAGAGAACACAATTGCCAGGACTAAGACAGGCCATCAAGCATCTTGTCCTTTCCAAACTGAAACTGAAACTGAAACTTATTAAGCTCCAGAAATTCGTATACTGATTTGTTAGTTTTGTGAAACACTTTTCCGTACCAAGCAGAGTGAGTTGTTGTTATTTATTTTAAAACAATTAGTCCCTTTGATAGATTTCGATAATGCTGTAGTGGTCAAACGTGACTCAACGTCACGCTACAATGCAATGAGATGAAGTTTGTCAGTATAATGTTATATATTTGTGCAATACATTTCGAACAACATGTTACGGCCTACCTTTTACCTGTCTAGTTGAATTTTTAATTTTCATATTAAAATGTTTAGCAAGTATATGTTGATCAGATTGTTCGAAATTTGTTGAGCAAGTGTATCACATAGTTCTGATAAACTTCATCTTCTCAATGCATCATCGATATTTACTTTACCAACATATTTTATTTTTCTTGCTTCATATGTTTAGGCATCTATCTGAGAGCATTGCCTACCCGCTGTTAATGAACATAGCCTCCTGTTGAATAGAAGCTTGACGCGCTTGGACAATGAATTATGGCGCAAAACACATCAAGGCCGTTTGTAATGCAAAGGATGTACGGTGGCATTAAGTACTTAGCATAGCAATACTGTGGGTTTTGCGTAATGGATATAAAAGCCGGTTTGTTCTTGAAGCTTTCGGATTACTTTTTCAGAGTTGTTTTTCCTGGTAGTGAAGCTGTTAGAAGATGAGGGGTGTGTTATTGCGGCTGAGGTAAGGGCTGATTTTTTTTCTTAAGTTCCGACAATTTAGTCTTTGAAAAAATTCATTGACGACAACAAAGTAGGTTTGTGTTTCTCGTAAACTGTTTAGTTGTTGCCTTCCCGTATCAACACTATCGGTGTCCCGTTTGACAACACATTTGATAACTATGTTTGTTGTATTTCTAATTATAATCATTATTGTTGTAGAATAGCCTTCACAATCTAAGCAAGCCGTCTGTTTTGGTTGAATACTATCAGCTTCTGGTAAAGTTAGTGCATAATAGTAACAGATGTGCTTCCCACCTAAAAACCCTAATTGGAATCCAAAGTAACCTATTTTAATTTTTAATTAGTCTTCTTTAGATAAATTTGAAAAGGCTTTCAGTACAAGACGCATAGGTTGTTCGTTTTAAATACTTGTTTTATATGCTTTTAGATTTTCATATAGTCTCGAAAGATCATAAAAGGTTACGGGGGCCTTTAATAAATCACTTGCATCAGCATTCAAAGCTGCAGTTCCACATTCTTGCTCACCGTACGGCAATTTATTGTTTGGAGTTTGATAAGCGTGGGAATTACGCTTTCACAGTAGGTTTAACAATGTTTTGTTCCTGCATAAGTTTAATTGAATTATTTAGGTTTGCTAACTTCACGGGATTCATTGTTTTATAAGTAATGCACACTGTTTCCAGTGCTCTTGTTTCAGATACTTGTAATGAGTCTTGAGCAAAATATTTATCAAGGTTGTATCTTTTTACAAGTAATGTCGGGGGATTTTTTAAAATTCGGATGTTTACCTCTACCCATTCAACAAACTACTTTGTTCGGCTCTGGTGTATCAGGTTTTGTGGTTTATATTTAAGTACTTACAAAGTTAACTAGACCGATTTATTTATAATTGTCTCGCAAAGATAGAAATATCAAACAATCTGAAAACAAATCAAATATTTCTAATAGAATGTAGTGTTGGTAGTTTGTTGCGACTCCACCGCGTATACTTTTGCTAACTAATATCCTTTCTTTACTCAGCCAAACTATTACGTTTTTTGACATGTGATCTCAATTTAGCTTGTGAAAAAATTAGGTTGGTAGAATGCTAGTGGTTTCCGCATTAAGATATGGCATTAATCACCGAACTCATCGACAGTTAGTATGATATATCCATGGAAGCAGACTTGTAGAGTAATCGTCATCATTCTATCACAACCCGGACAAAGTAAATCATATGACTACAGGCACTGTGTTATTTGTTTGCATATCATATAAAATCAGGCTGACCGAAATCCCAGTGTTTATCAAGCTACTTAGTGTGACTGTAGTCTTTCACAGTATTTAATTGTTGGAAAGATATTTTAGTTTTCACTTCAATGTTCTATTGTTTCAGGGATCCGACGATTACACCATTAAAATCTGGTCTGTAAAAGGATCAAGTACACCGTCATGTACCCTACGCCATACTCTTCGAGGTCATGTTGCTGAAATAATTGAACTAACTGTATCTATCGATAACCATTTACTCGCATCAATAGATTCAAACTGCTGTCTAGTAATATGGTGCCTGAAAACTGGACAACCAGTAGTAGCTGTTCGTGGATCACGTAATAATCGGGTACTGTCTGGTCTCGCTTTCCTCAATGTACCTAAAACATTGGGGTCAATGAACAAAGGTAAAAAGTATCAGGTTGCCTATTAGTGCTTTCTCCGTCTCAAAATGTTAACTTGTTGTTCTAGACTGGATAATTTAGCCAGTTTTTTCGTTTTTGCAAGCCATCTATATTTTCGTGAATGGAAATAATCTTCGATGTTAGGAGTTTTTGATAAAAATTTGACCTTAGTTTTAATAAGTTTCACAAACTAAATTGCGTGCCATTACTTTAAAATGAAGAGAATTGGTGTATGATGTTAGAATTGATCTTTCAGGAGACTCAATTCTGTAGATAATGAACATGAAACACCCCATGTATGAGGGGATGTGTGATATTTGTAAAGTGATCTAAAGATAAAAGATAAAATAGGTCATAAGTGGATTATAAAAATGTTTTCTTATTCATGAGTAGTCTAAAACTAATCACTGTCCAAATCAGGGTTGATGATAATTCTGAAAGTAATCTTGGTAATGATAGAATTTGGCTGATATATTCACGCTGTTCTGCTTGTGGTTGGTATACTTTTGGACGATAATGACTTGATATCGGCTAAATATCAAACCAAGTTAGGTTCAAGTCTGGCTACCGCTTGTAATCATGGAGTTCTTGAAGACTCCTTATGACAGTGAGGCAGGTTGGTGTAATCCGACAAACTACGAGTTTGATAGATGTCATTCAATCCTTACATCAGGAAATCTCACAAGCCTTGCGTAAGGACCGAGAAACTTGGTGCTTGGAGAGTGCTAATGAGTTGGAAGCAGCGACTGTCTTTAACAACTTATAGAAGCTATCCCAGCTCGTTTAAGTTAATAGCCAAGAATTCTCATATCAGTGAAGCAGTTTGTAACGTTGATGTGATGCTAGTTAGTAACATCTAAAACGTCTCGGACATTGGCTAGAGTTATTCTAAGGAAAAACAAGTTGATCTGTTACCCCGGGAACATCGATCAAGGCATTTTATTCTCCTCGACCTTTAACGGCTGGTCTACCTAACAAAGTAGAGGTTCACAAAGGACTTCAAATTCTGAAATGCTGTAAATCATCAGGGCTAAATGTTCTCCTTTTAACCCTCTCCAAGGTTGTGTTGAAAAAGAGTGCTTGGGAAGTTTACTGTCATCTTAAAGGCTCTTTATACAAACGTTAGGCAAAGTGGGGGCATGTCACCTCTCAGTTGTCTCAATCCAGCAATGGTATTAAGTGGGACTGTCGAACCTCACTATTCCTCCCAAACTTTAGGAAGACACCTCTGGAGGAAGTAGGTAGTGGCGGTGGTGTTGGTGTAGAGGTCTGTTACCTCCTAACAAACGTTTCAACCTTGAGCAAGGGGATGAAATCGTCAGACTGTACAATAATACACAATCTATACAAGTTTCACTTAATCAGTTTGCAAGTGTTCGTATGTATAGCATATACTTTTCACATTCTGAATTGAAAGTACTTTCATAGGGCTAAGAGAAGCCTGTATCCTCATCCATTACTTGTGGTGACAGTCAGTCAGTCAGTCAGCTGCAACGTAGGACAAGGCACTTATATGCATCGGTCCAAGTTGCCATACCTCATTAGCACAACAAGATGAACACCGGATTCAGAGAAGTAGTTGATTCAGTGGTGGTAATATGTAGAAGAAACATTGCATATAAGGAGATAGTACAGGAAGAAAGAATTAATTCGTAGAAAGAAACATATGAAGTGATTTTAATCGTATAGTTTAGTTTAAAGAAAGACAGAGAGTGTATACACCGACGCCATTGTGATCGATTCTGAGTCATATCACAGAGTCTTCAACCATTGGTTACGATAATCACATGGACCCCGACCAAGTAGTCTACATCTACCAACATGACTCAGACCAGATGTTAGTGACTTCAAGCACTGATGCCACGTTTTGGTTTGGCCGCCCCTAATTTTCTTCCAATTATCCCCAACACCGGTTAGCATTGCGCGTCGTGGTTATCGGTGTTCAGGCATATGCGACACGTGGCCCAACCATCTCAGTCGATGAAGATTCACAACCTCATCAACTGATTTACCATCATTATGATTAAACATAAGAGAAACTGAAACTCGTTAAAAGTAGTCGTAAAGTACATATGAGTGTATCAAATAATCAGTTTATTGATAGTAGTGATATTGTTTTAATCATATAGTGTCAGGAATCACAACTAATGAACCTAAAAACGGTTACTGTTTTGCAATAATGTTGGTTGTCACTAGTATAATTGTAGTTTTGGGAGTGCAAAAAAATTAAAGATAGTACATCCTTTTAGTTGACTAGCATTAAACTAGTGATTTGTACCTGTGGAATGTTCATGGTTCTGTACCAAGACAAACCCTCGCACAATATATTTAACTCAGTCTGATTTTTTAAATATCAATATTAATAGAAAGTAGTCGTAATAATAATGGGATTAGAAGAATCGTGGAGCGTGTAAAGAACGACAGATGAAAGACGTGCAGATTATGTATTTGATGTTTAGTTTCCATATTTTACGAAAGCACTATAGTTTTGCATTAAACAATAGGTTGGTCTTCCCCACCTGGGTGTTCATTCACTACAAAACTTCATATCCTCATTATATGAAGTATTTATTATTTATTTGAATACATAAATATTGGTACAAGAGGGAACCAAATATATATGCACCACACAAATTTTCATTTTATTTGTGTGTGGGCTGTGATACTGCTCGGGTGCCCAGACCAAAGCAGGTTCATTATATAAAGTGAATATCACTTGCTATTCATGAACTAAGGATGGTTTAGAGATGTGTTCCAGATAATTGTAAATTTCCATGTTTATGTTCCTGTAAATGTTATTTATATTTACTCACCAACTTGATGTAACCTAGTTTTCTGTTTTGGTTCTTTAGAAGTCTCTTGAATTTATTCCAGGTTAACAGCAACATGTCAAGGAGACGATTAGTCTGTTTGAACTGTTGAGATAAGACTTAGTTATTATTATCAAGTAGACATATGTCGTAAATCAATTTAAATTAAGCACAGCTACTTCATGAAGTTGATCAAGTATCACTAAGCTAAATTTTGCAAATTTTTTTTCATAGATTCATCGAATTCGAACGATGTTAATAATCCTTCTGGTATGCTCATAGTATCATCCTTTGGTGGTTATCTTCACATCATACCTTATATTCACACCGTTTATCATGCTCATCGTGAGGATGAGTTCGGTAATGTAGCTAATCATTCTGAAAATAGATGGATTTGTTGTGCTGTCCAATTACTTCCTACGATTCGTTTTACAACAGCTCCTGAAGGTACACCAAATGTATATTGGCCATCCATTGCATGTATTGATGTCAGTCCTGGTGAGTTGACCAAATAGTTTTTCTTTATTGATTTTGTTACCTTTTAGAACCAAGTTATTGACTAGACTTTGTAATAAATGTAACGTTGATTTTTAAATCGATACGTGCATGCAATTATCATAATCGAAATTTAAAGGAAAATTTGTATTTCCATAAAACTTAAGTCCATATCATCTTGGCTTAACTTTTGCCTTCCATCAGTATAATCATTACGCGTAACAGTCAGTCATCGAAGTAAGATTATTGCTTGGTCAGCGTTTTTACATTCCAGTCAGTAGGTCACGTAGTCAGTTACTGAAAGCTGTTTGTTTAAATCCTTCAACAGCCTCAGGTTTTCGTTTGACTCAGCTCCATAAAAATGTCTGTTTACCGAAGAATTTAACTGATAATCATGGAGTGTTGCGTATTTTCTGGAGCTGAACTTTGTTTCACCTCATATGAGAAAATATTTGAGCTATAGATTTAGCCTGAAGTTTCACACTGAGGTAAGACGACTGTTCTGTGCTTCTTGGTCTTCAGTCGTGGTCTTGCTTATTCTAGTCTTTGTTTGGGCCTCACTACGAATAAGAATATTTGTGTTTTGTGTAAGTAAGCCGAATGTATTGTGTACGCGTATTATTTATTTTAAGACTATTTATAGAGTATAGTTTGAATGATTCTTTACTTTGTATTATTTGTTTATCATTTAAGGTGGACTCTTAGTTGCAGCCGGTTGTTCAGATCAACGTATTCGTTTGTATCAGTTCATGAATCCACTCAAACCCGAACCAGCTGGTGTACTAGCTGCTCATGAGGTGAGTATAAAGTGTTATGTTATAAATTTGAAATGTAATGCCTGTCAATTTTCTGTTGTTTGTTCTATATTGACTTTGTTCATGTGTTTATGTTGTTAATAGAAGGTTATAAAATTGTGAATCGTAAGTATCCAGAATAAAAAAATCTTCTCTTTTGCACATTTTATTCATGTCCAAAATCATCTCACATATTTTATTGTAACTTCAGTGATATTTCATTTCCTCTGCTGTTCCTTTATGTTGGAAAATCACGATAATAGTGATTATTGTACAGGCACAAGACATATAAACACATTAAACTATATGTAAACACGTTTTCCAACGGTGATTAACTGCCATATACATTTGTAATGACATTCGTTGATAATCATTATGATTCCTATGTCATTTTTTTCTCCACGCATTATATTTGATACATAGAATTCTCTTTTTCCTAACAATAAACAGGCATAAAAGTGTATCAACTCTCCTTATGACTTCATTTGGATTTTGTTTTAATTAGTCTCAATGTTGGTTGTAAACTTATAAAATCTCAAGAGTAGATGTCATTAACACCTATTCATTCAATACAAATGTAAAACAAGAAAATGAACAGTTGGATCAGTGGTTTTATGATTAAGGCGTCTGAGTTTCAGTCACCAACTCGCAAGTTCAAACCCCACCCCACGTACTTTAGTTTGAGCGACCGCATTGTTTCATTAACCCATATATTTTGCATGTGACTCGTACCGAAGTACCTGCTGAATGAGTTAATTATTATTTTATGTATTGATTACTACATACTTGGGGAAAAATGACCTAGAAGCCGTTCTCATCATATCGCACCAAATCGTCTGACATTTCATATTCTGTTATTTCAAATGCATAAGCGAAGTTTACTTTTCTTTCCTTACTTCATACCTTTAGTGTTAATTATTATCTTGCGATACAAAATCTTGTTAACTTATTTTATTTACAAAATCTGGTATAGCGGGGCATCAGACTCTATATGTTCCACACAGGTGAGCTGGAATACCGGCCTTATGTCAAAATCGAAGCAGGTGGTTTTCTTAGGAAACCATTCTCAGAGTCTGTGACGTAGAGGTTTAATCCCCAAGTCCGTGAAGCAATTTCAGATACCATCCCATGGTAGCCAGTGATCAGAAATAGGTTCGTATTGCCGTTCGGTTCCTCAGGATACTGGAGCTCATGCACACCATTGGTTTAATATCAGGGTTTTCCAATTTCCCCAAATGCCCTGGTGCGGCCTAGGGTGGGGAGAGTCAGCTCTTCCTTTCGAAATGCTCTCATATGGCCACGTGCATGCAGCCACTGCCAAGGAAGTCATACTGCCTTCTCGTGGCGGGTGTATTCACGAAGTTGAGAGTACGAGAAGCGAATGTCTGACGCTTCACTTTGGGCACCCAGGCAGTATATTAGCCCACACACAATTCAAGTGACTTGTGTGGCGCATATGCATTCTATGCCCGTTTGTACCAATATTTATGTGATCAAATAAATAAATAATCTTTTGTATCCATTAATTTAGTTTAAATTTCGTACGTTCCCTTTTCCGTCCTCTTACTATTGTAAGTAACATACATTCCTATCACTTGAAGGTTGTGAACTGGACTTCCTTGGTACTGGATATAAATGCATGGTTGTTTGTTAAGGCATCGCGACAGAGGAGAAGCTGTGTTTCTTTACCCCAGGTTTTACCAAAATTTAATTTGCTGAGGCTACTTACAATCATTGGGTTTCATAATTGATTAGAAGAATCATTAAAGATTCATAGTTTACTCATTTTAGAAATTAAGTTTTGGTATTTTCCGTTATTTCTTGTTTTTATGGATTTTACTATTATTTATTTATTTATTTGTTTTTTTTTTTTTTACCTAAAAATCAAATTTTAAAAATCGCACGTTGAAAAAACTGACAAACTACTGTTCAACAAAATAGGAAAGTGTTAATAGCGTGGCATTCAGTCATTCTGGATTAAAATTGGCCACTGGCAGTTCAGATGGTGGAAGTTGTTGGCTATGGAAATTTCAAGCAGGTCAATGGAGAAGTATGACGTTACCATTTCGTAAAAGGTATTTTTGAGATTTTTTATCGCCAATTATTCTAACTGTTCATTTTAGTAGTAGTTTTCCCATAGATTATTTATTTTATGCACAGGATTTATTGTTCATAGTTCAATTATCTTCAGTGGTCTCAGCACCATAATCTCTGACTTAACATTGATCAGTTTGTTTGTCATTCTAATCCGTTTGAAACTATAACTGGAGTAGCTGTTTCTTGAAGACTTTACTATACCAGAATATAGTCGACTACATAGACTAGTGTAAATCAAAACTACTTTTTTGTCACAGTTCCATATGACCATGTTTTTTCCTAAGACAAAACGTGTTGAAATGGGATAAGCGCTTTGAATCACTTCTGTGTATATTTGATTTTGTTGAATATCCTCTAGCTGAATTTGAACTCTGGAAAAAACCACATGAACGAAGAACTTAAAAAAAATGGTGATTAAAGCAACTCTGTTATGTTGTTTAGTGGATCAATAATGGAATTCACTTAGGTAATAGCACATTAGCTCCATGAAATATTAGTATCCATAATCCATTTTTCCGAAACGAGAGGGTATCTGTATTAGCTCGGAAAATCTAAAAGCTAGGAAAAGTATAAAGTTACAAAACACATTGTCTGCGTTACACTCTAGAGAAATAGTAATCTTAAGATAATGTTTGTAGTGTAATTCATGTATTGAGTTCACGCTGACCTACCTCATATCTAGTTACACAGCTTGTTTGCAGGCTAGTCATAACACTCATCTGGGCAAATAAAATTAGGTGCAGTTAAGTTAGAACCTGGGATCTACTCATCGATAGAAGAGTGGTTTAACCACTAATTATCTATCCTTTTGAGATGATAGATTGTTGAAGCTTGATTGTCATCTCTGAACTATTTTAAAATAATGGAGGAAATTTACAGTTTAGGTGTTGCGTTCTCTGAGGTGAATGGCTTGAATGTGAAGCTTTTTTGTCATTCTGAATAACACATCGCCAGGACATAATTTAAATAGAAATGAGTCTTTTCTAAAATCTATCCATATGCACCAAATCACTTTGTTTTAATAAGCTTTTTCTCAATTGATTGTATTACCTTTATGTTTCCTTTTGTTTTCGCTAAATGTTTTGTTCGGTTGACCTCTAGTCGTCTGTCCATAATTCTTATATTTACACAATTAGATTTGAAATCATAGTTGTATGCATTGATATAATTGATAGTGTATCATGTCTTTTCACTGCTAATCTATGTTCATGTACACAATGGTAAAGGGGGGCGTCCTCTTTGTCCAAACCGATAGATACTATTTCGTGGTTAGTGGTTCACTTAACCTCCTTAGTTGTTGTAGTTTTTCTGTATAAAATGCAATAAAGTTGTGTTGGATTGTGAACGAAAGGCATCTGAGGGTTAAAAAATCCATTTTATAACCCTCTTCTGTAAAAACGGTTATCCATACAACTTCGCCAAAGATTGTCGAGAAAATAGACGTGTCATCATAAAACCACCCTAAAAACCTGAAATTAGATTATCCTACCACATATGTAATTCATTTCAAAAATCCCTGCAAGGGTTTTGAGACCTTTTGAATGACGTCCAGCTCAGAGAACACAATGCTACCAAAGATAAGATGTAAAGTGTTAATTATTTTATTGAACAGAGTTTAACGCCCGTTAAATAGTTTCCGAATTGCCATTTTATTATAGAATAAGCGATTCAACGTAGTAATCATCCTTTCGTCAGCGATCTTTGTTATCATACAGTATAGTATTTTTGTATAGTGACAGTTACTAAAAATGTAATTTACCGTTTTATGAGCAGGTCGCATGTTTCTTCCTGTTTGGGACTCTTCAGCTAGATGTACCTGCATCACTTTGGGACTCGACCCCATTATTTTCCGCTACAATCGCCGCGTTATCCACTTCGCTACAAAGTCCAGATAGCTACTAGCTTGTGCAATAAGGTGAAGTTTCAAATAAGACGATATTTGCGTCCTAGATTCCACTGATAGCTACTATCTATCTTTGCTTATAATCCTTGTGACTTTGGGCAATATCGAGGCCATGCACAGGACGCACATATGCCAATAAGAAATTGGTCAATTACAGTCCTAAACATCAATGCGAGGTTTCAAACAATCAATACAAGAATGATTTAAAATTTACGGTTTTTGTTTAGTTCTTTGTATAGGTACGAAACAGCAGTTTGTTAGTAATTTTATACATTATTTCCCATTGGTAAATTTGATGAAAGCAAGAACGATGAAAGTAGTAGACTAACATAGATTTACTTACATTTCACGGTTGCTCATCAGCTGATTACAAATTAGAAATTGGCGTACATATTTTACATATTATGATATCGTAAAATAATAAATATATATTTTTTGTTATATCCCGATGAGTAGAATAATTGCATCTCTAACGTTTCGTGACTTAATGTGAGCCACTTCTTCAGAGTAAATATTTACGAAACGTCAGAAATACAATTTTCCTACTCATTGGGATTTATTTGAAAATATCACGTCCAACGTTAACAGAGTCTTTTGACCACCCTAAGCAACAATCCAAGCATGTTTGGCATGCGATTCTCTCGAAATGCAAAATATTGCTTCAGGATTCGGTTGCATCGATACCAACTTGCGTCATTTATGTCGTAGGCGAGATATCCGTCTACCAAACAAAGTAACGGGTTTACTGCACAGCAGTTCATACCGTCCTACTTTATGACAGTGAAACATGGCCGGTAAGAGTAGAGGATATTCGTAGGTTACTAGTAATTGATCATCAGTATCTTCGAAGCGTTGTTCGTATATCCTGGTACCACCGAGTAAGTAATGCAGTTGTTAGTAAACGGGTACTAGGTAAGGATAGCAAATCAATTGATGAAGTAGTGGTAGTTCATCAGTTGAGATGGGTGGGACATGTGTTACGTATGCTCAACCACCGACTGCCCCGACAAGCGATGTTCAATGGTACAGGAGTAGGTTGGAAGAAACCTAGGGGCGACCAGACCAAAACATGTCACAAATCCATGAAGTCACTCACATGTGGACTGAGCCATTTTGGTAGGTGTAGACTACTTGGTTAGGATCGACGAGATAATAGCAACCGATGGTTAGAGACCTTGGATGACATGACATGGCGCAGGTGCATCTACTCTTTGTGTTCTCCCAAATTTTAATCTTCTGAATTCTTCACTTCCCTTTCTTTTTTCTCTTTCCAAATTTATTTCACTGGATTATACTCCTTGAATAACATCTTCAAACCCTAATCTTCCCGATTACTGCTTATACTCTTACCACCTCTACCACTAATGGATTTGTATCGACAACTGCATCTCTGTGCTAATGGGGTGTGACGACTCGAACTGATGTAAGAACGTGCGAAGTTCTACGTTGTTACTGACTGGCTGACTGAAGCTTGGCATTGATACCTACAAATATCGGAAAAGTTCTCATCAATGAAAACTCGTGAAGAATAATAAGTATAGAAGAGCTATAAAATTATGGTTCATGTGTTAACGAACAAATCACAAAATAAAGTGAATTCATGTTATTCTGTTACATTCATGTAGTGTCTAGTACTGTGTCAACAGGCCACAAAATTGATTATTCCTACTGTAATTATAATTAATGATTTTCTAGATAGATTTATTCATAGAATATACTTTTCCTTCAGTAATGACATTGTGCATAATTGTTTCTGTGTATTATGAATTATTTCAGGGTAAAATGTCGACCTTGTCTTTTAGTTTGGTCAATACATGATCAATACTTAATTGCTTCAATGAAGAATGGATCAGTTTATATATATTTCGGTCATAGTGGGCAATTGGTCACCATTATTGAAGTAAGTTGAATTTATACATGACGTTGTTTTATGAAATTCCATACTTTTCTGTAAAACCGGACCTAAATAACTATTTATTGTTTGAGGTAATTAGTCTTTTCCAAATCTCAATATATGGTCAAGTTTTTTTCTCAGTCATCGATGTAATTTAGGGTTACTCTGTTACTTAAGTTAGTTCCTCACTCTTAGTGGAAGTACTTTCTTTTTTATATATTGAGGGAAAATTTCCAGAATATTTCTTATGGGTTATGGTAAAAAGTGTTATGCAATTAATCTACAGTTGCTGAGAGTCTTATATCAACCTGCTCCATCTTTAATGCCGTCTTGATGTTGGTTTGGTTATAAAATGTTGGGTGGCCTTTCTGTATGTTTATCCAATGACCCTTTTTATCTGATCATCCGAAGTATTTATGTTATGTCTTGGCGACACTATATTATTAGTGCTGAAATTCAGGAATGAGTGCTTAGAGGCAGTGATGAAAGTCAACTTGTGTCACCATCTTGTGACACCAACTTCAGTAGTTTGGATATGTTTTTGCTCGCATCTGTTGGGATCACCGGGTAAGTAATAGTGAGGTTAGACGTAGAGTATTAGTCTAAATCATGTTGCTAGACACAGACCATTTGGTTGGGGTCCATGTGACTATCGTAACCAATTGTTGGAGACTCTGGATGACATAGCGTAGGTGTATACACTCTCTGTCTTCCCTTAAACTAAGAGATTAAAATCGCTTCATATCTTTTTCTACCAACGAATTCTTTCTTCCTGTACTATATCCTTATGTCCAATCTTTTATATATTACTAACATTGAAGTAACTACTTCTATGAATCCTGTGTTGATCCTGTTATGCTAATGAGATGTGGTAACTTGGATCGATGCATAAGTGTACTTAGCCGTACGTTGTAGCTGACTGACTTGTTTTACAAATGCTATCCTAGTAGTTTCTACATTGTTCGTTAATTACCAATTCTAGAACTGGATAGAAAATTTAAAATGCGTTCAGATTATGACATAAAGCAGCGGCATTATAGAAAAATATGTAGGATTAATGATAATTATCAACCCATCACAATTTCCCATGGTTTATTTCCTCATAAGTTTATTTCTTGTTTATATTATCCTTTCTAAATTAGATTAATTAACTAATTCAGTAAACCATTGCTTATTCATTTTACTTTTGAAAAATGGTTCCTTAAATGTTTTATTTATCTTTAATAGTTCTAATTTTCAGTTTTTTTTTATTTTCCTAAAAAAAAATTCCAACCAAGGGACATGAAGGTGCAATTCACGCTGTATCACCATCACCATTTGATGAGAATATTTTAGCTACAGGTGGAGTTGATGGTCGTTTTCAATTGTGGAATATTTCAAATCTTAGACGTTTTCAACAAAACCCACAACATGATGAAGATAATCACCAATCAATAGATAAACCTTTATTATTCCATTATCGATTTCCTCCTGGTGATTTAGACATCATACAAGGATTAGTATGGCATTTTGACAATCCACCAGATGATCAACCTATATGGTCTGGTGCAAATGCAACTACAGTTAATCGTAGAACTACTCGTGATAACATACAGTTATCTGCATTAGATCCGTCAAATCACACAGTTGATTTGCTAACTGACAATACTACTAATAACACTATTAGTAGTAGTAGTAACAATTATGCTAATAGTGCATCTTCTCATCGTGCAGTGACAGGATCTCGTTCTCAGTTGAATCATACTGCTACTAGAACAAGTTCATTGTCTAATACAAAAATGCAAAGGATAACCGCTTGTCGTGTAATACCTACCATTGAAGGTGTTGGATTTCTTGTGGTTACTAAAAGTGGTGTTATGTCTTTATTCTCTCCGGCAGACGAGTCTACAACAATTGATTCTTCATGTAAATATAATATTCAGGTAAGATTACATGTGTTTATATATTGCCTAGTTTTCTGCTTATTTACAAAGACAGGGAAGGATAAAGCATTATAAATTTACTAATTAGTTTTTACAACAGTACCATTTGAAACCTTCACTCTTATAATTAAGAATCTGATTACTGGAGTAACCATTTATTGGCTATTCATTCCTTCTTTATAGTTTTACTAGATTAATGAATAATAAAGTGTTTATTAAATTTAAATTGTTTACTCTATTACAAATATATTTTTCTATGGCAACTCGAACTGATGTACGTACGTACGAATTTCTACGTTGTCGCTGACTGACTGGGATATCACCAATCAACTTACATTAGTCTCTTTTTTTGCTTATTAACCTTAATTATCCTATAAAATAACAAAATGTATCGTATACTATTGACAAGTTACAAGAATATTGGTAGTTTAATAAGTACGACCATTGTTTTTACATTATACACGAACTAGATGTATTCAAAGAAAGAAATATATTTCGATAATGTAATAAGAAGACGGAGATTATCAAAACTACATAGTTTTGATAATCTCCGTCTTCTTATTACATTATCGAAATTTATAAAAGGGACTAATTGTTTTAGAAATATATTTATATAAATAGCAGAGTTCTTGACATAAGTCTATTGTTTATATTCATTAAGAATTACAAGGCAATTTACAGATATGTAACTTCAATACAAATAAAAGTCATAGAAATGTATTTAGAATGAATAAAATTTAACAATGAAAAGTATAAATTGTTACTACTAAGCTAAGGATGTCATTGGGATTAAGAGAAAACAAGGGAATCTGTTACACTGTGACCTATTAGAATTCATATCATTTAGAACGTCTCCAATGATAGGTTACAATTATCTTGTAGATTCTAATCTAGACGTTTGTACCATTTTATATAGTATACAATAATAATGAATGGCTATACAAATGAATATTTTATGGTGATTGAATCTCATGTAAATTTTATACAATCAAGTTCTACGCTCTTAGATTGCGTATTATCTCTAAGTAACGTGAATAAGTGATTAGATAATTAAATTCAATGAATTTTTCAATCAATTAAATTTACATTTTTAATGTTACTACAAATTATTGTTCACTGAACGGTGTGATCAAGCGAAGCATTAAACACTTTGATCTTTACTAGTTACTGTTTCCTTTCTGTTAAACTTGTTGAAATACATGCTGAAGATATCCTACAAGATATTTTTCTTATTGAAATCAATGATATCTTTACAAGTTATTATTATTATTATTATTATTATTATTATTATTACCATTGTTCCGTTTACCTGTCACTTTTTTTTCAGCCATCATCAGTTGATGAACAGTTTCTTCATTGGGAATTGGATACAGCGGAATGGAGAGAAGTTGTACCCGATCCTAGTAATAATAATAATAATAATAATAACGATAGTAATTTTAATTCTAACGTACTTCGTATCTATGAAAATACTCTACAGGCGTTAGGAAGTCCACCAGCTCAACAGTCAGCTAATTCACCATCAAATGGTCGAGTTAATTTATCACGAGAAAATTCACAAAATAATCATCATAGGGAATTAATTAATCATCATAACAATAACAATGATAATAATAATTCTGGTCGAATCATTCGTTATAGACCTCCTCCAGCTGTACTATATGAAATTATACATGCACCTAGCGGTGTACCATTTCATCGATTACCACCGGGTTATTTGACCAATTTAAGAGGATTCCCTTATCCATCAAAACGTCAATTACAAATACCAGGTCGTAGTCATTTAATACAACCATCAGATTTATTACCATCAGTCACATTAGATGAAGAAAGTAAGTAATTGAAATAGTAGTGGTATTTTCAAGTAACTGATAATGGGTTTCTTAAAATCATGTTCAATGTGTCTTGTAATCTGTTGTTGTGGTCTTAATGGGATACATTAATTTGAAAGGTTCTTCTATTAACTAATAGGATCTATGCGAATTACATAGGCCGGACGATTAACACATTACAAAACTTCAACATTAATGATCCACACACAAATCAGTCAGTCAGTAACAACGTGGAACTTCGCACGTTCTTACATCAGTCCGAGTCGTCACACCCCGTTAGCACATAGATGCAGTTGTCGATACAAATCCAATAGTGGTAGAGATGGTAAGTGTATAAGCAGTAATCGGAAAGATTGGGGTTTGAAGATGTTATTCAAGGAGTATAATCCAGTGAAATAAATTTGGAGAATACAAAGAGTAGATGCACCTGCGCCATTGCAAACGATTTTGAGTCATGTCATCCAAGGTCTCTAACCATCGGTTGCTATTATCTCGTGGATCCTAACCAAGTAGTCTACACCTACCAACATGGCTCAGTCCACATGTGAGTGACTTCATGGATTTGTGCCATGTTTTGGTCTGGTCGCCCCTAGGTTTCTTCCAACCTACTCCTGTACCATTGAACATCGCTTGTCGGGGCAGTCGGTGGTTGAGCATACGTAACACATATCCCAACCACCTCAACACAAATAAAAGAGATAGAGAAGTTCAAGATTTATTGAAAGAAACCATTAGAAGTTTTCAATTTACATTCAAATTAATTCAATTACAAATTGATAATTATTAATTAAAGAATTCATCATACTGGATAATTATATTAATTGAATACAACATCACAATAAATGAAAATATACGGATAGAGGAATTCATTAATGAATTGATTTATTCATTCAACCCTAATCAATAATTGATGTTATTACTGTTAGTTATTAATTATTAATTCATTTACTAAATACAGGTTTGTATACTTGATTTTAAACCACCCTCTAAATGTAAAGGATAGTGATACTGTAGTGAAGGAGAACACAGAAAATCACCGAGTTACTTTGTAAAATAGAAAAATCATACCATAATACCTAATTTACAAAATGTTCAATAATTGTCTCGGACTTTATTGTTCTTATATTTCTATACTAATTGCTTTCTATATCCGTACTTCCTTTCTTGATCTTCCCAATCATCTACAGCCAGATATTACATTCCTGACTCGAGTAATATACTACTTATTTCAATATAAGTAGCACGCACCACAATACTACTCAGTTGATTGGACGAGAGTATGTGGAGCAGGGTTCGAACCTGAAATTTGGTGAATGAAAGTCGATTAGCTTAATCACTGAACAACTACTCTTATATATTAAAGCATTAAAAAGTATTTTGAATTCAGTGAAGGTGTAAAAACTTTTTAAATTACCTGAATGTACCGATAGAAACGATATCCATTCTACATTTGACAACTTCCTGATCAGTTTGGATTGATAAGTTCGACATTACAGACCACTAACCAGAACAGTACTCTAATCTCATTTTTAGTATAAAAATATTTGTAAAATTAGTCTAGCATGTAGTCGATTTTTGTTTATTTTCCTAACCCTTCTTTACTCTGTTATTTATTTAGCTGGTGAAGATATTGTTGTGGATGATATTCAATTTTGTTCAAATGTTCCAATCGATTATTGTCCAACACCTGAATTATCCAGTACTCAACCGATTTATGGTAAAAATTATCTTTGGTGTTCACCATGGTTAACTAATAAAACACCATTAATAGAACCTTTGGATACAAATGAGTTAAAGTAGGTATTAATATCTATCGCTCATCAACATTATCAATTGTACTTTTATAATTCTAGATGTTTTTGTTTGTCTAATTTATTAATTCGTTGGTGCTAGTCATTTTTTACATCTATATAATCAAGGATTGTTGAGCTGAACCTTGTTTATAGGTTCAAATTACCCAATCGAAGTCCGTAGAATAACGGGGTTCAGTGAGTAGAAAGATTGGGTGATTAGACTGAAAATCGGTCACTGTGGCGCATACGTACGTTTTTCTTAACCTTTGGTTTCAATAATCCTTCATGCATATCTTCTTTTCGAACCATATTCTCAATTTTGAGTCTTACTATCGTTAGTAGTAAGGTTATTTTGACTCTTGCCATTGATCTCGTCAATTTCACGTCTTTGTACTGTTTTTGAGATAGTGGTAAAGGTAGTAAAAGTATAAGCAGTTATCGGAAAGATTAGGGTTTGAAAATGTTATTCAAGGAATATAATCCAGTGAAATAAATTTGGAAAGAGAAAAAATGAAAGACAAGGAGAATCTAGGATTTCTAGCTAATGAAGCCAGTCGTCCTGTCTGACACAAGATTCGTAACTTAAAAGCTCCAACATGTAGTTTGGAGCGTGGTTTGTGATGCCAGGATTAAAGTTTCATGAACTCAAATCATTCTCATCTATGGAGCGTGGTTATAATGATTTATTAGCAAGGTTAGTTATGGGAATAAGAAAATTATTACAAAGTGAGGGTGGAATTTGAACATCAAAAAGATTATCTCTAGCATTAAAAGAGGTATGAGTGCGGACATCACTTCCCGATTACGTACACTGCGGAATGACATTTCTTCTTGAGGGACCTAAAAATGAAGCTGAATTAGTGGTCGTCTAGGTGTCCTGGGAGCGTGACAGCAAAGTCCAAGAGACAACTGCTAGAGGTGGGTCGTGCTCGGCCTTTTTATGGTGGGTAAATTATGTGTTAGCTCCGCCCTTCAAAAGACCTTACCTTTAGAGATGAAAATTCTTGGAGTGAGGTGAGATATATTTTTAAGGTCGACCCATTTCTAACCCATCTATTCCTTTGTGAGCAGGCAGCAGCGCTGTAGATGCTGGTTTTCCGAGGGAAACAGCTCATTTCTATCACACTTCTATTCATCTAGCAGTACGACTTCCCCATCGGGCCTTAAGTTGCTCCTTTTAATCCGACCGTGGTCAAACCTACCTGCCTGACATGGTAGGACCTTTAGGAACAGGTGTTCCAACCGATATAGCCCGATTAATTCACCACGATAGACAAGCCAGACTATCACGTCAAGGTTGCATCTGTGGTCAGATTCGTAGGGAGTTAATATTTCCCCATCGCCCGCCCGTTGGAGGGGTACTTATTCGTAAGTTTGTTCAAAAGGAAACGGATTTATAAGTGATCTTGATGAACCCGAGGTGTGACTGTAAATCCTAAGGAACAACTGCTTGAGGCCAGTCCTATATATGGTCTATTTGTCAATAGTTCCTTATGTTTTATTTCTTTACTTTAAAAGTCATACTACCGGCAGCGGAATTCGATGGAGTAAGGTTTAGGTATCTTGTTTTCAGTTCTGACTTTTCTAATCCATGCATTCTTTGTAGCAAGTTTGTTTGAGAGAAGTACCTAACTATCGTGATATCTCAGTGGAATCGCTCTAGGACCTTAAGTTCGCCACTTTTACTCTTCCTGCCCTCCAACTAACCGGTGGTTTCAGATTTGAAACACACTGTTCTGGTAGTATTAACATCTATCACATTTCGAGTGACTTAAAGCCAAGTAAACAAATTAGTAATTGATAAGTGTTTACCCTCATATTCATTATAGATGAATCTTTCTTGAATGTTTCTCATTAAATCTACTGAAAATCTAAATTCATTCCTTTCAGTTTAAAGTTCGTTGAACAGCAACAACGTTATGAAGATGAAAGAAACTTCTTTTCTGCCGGTGGTGAACCCGTCGTGTCTTTTGGAGACGAGGTAAGAAACGTTTGTTAAGTATGTGTTATTCATGCTGATAAACTATTTTAAGCAAAAACGTAAATATTATTTGTTAAAAGTTGAATGTATTGGATGTTACTGTATTCTATTCTTATGCGAAACCATAGGAATGAATATATCTACTGCTAATTGTTAATCATTCAGTTAACATTCTTTAAGCGTAAATTACGGTTATTGTATGAGGGTTCAAACCATGAGCTCTGCACCAATACGCGTGGCTTACATTAGGAGTCAATGAACGACCTCACAAACTGAATTCATATATATCTATCAATTATTTCAATGTCAGTCCTTTCCTTCGCTAACCCGTATAGTGTTTCGATGTGGATGACACCGATTTAAATCATTGAGGTTCTTTGAGGATCAAAATTTTGTCAACAAATTTTTCATATTTGACTATTCCTATGTTGTATGCTCTAATTCAGCGCTTATCACTTAGTGGTTCCATCATGTAGAAGAAATGTTTGGAAGAATGTTCTATAAGGTATGCGAACTTGGTCTGTTATAGATTGTATTCACTACGTTCTGGATTGTTCATGATTTGATTAGATTTTAATGAAGTGGTTTTACGAACTTAGTTGATTTTGATGTAATATTGCGTTTCTAATTACATTCAATCTGTTAAGATCCTTTTGTGTACGACCCAGATACTCCTATTGCTTAATATTATTCAGACACTTTACTTGATTTGAATAGTACCCAAAATAATAACAGGAACCAATTATGTTCTAAATAAACATAGTTGGGAATGACCATCGCAGTGAGAAAACTGTTAGTAAATTTATATCTTATTCATATTTCTTCTAGCGCTGATTGACTAAGAAATGGGTCAATCAGCGTACCTCAAAATCATCCTGCATGGAACATGTATTTATTCAATCTATGACGTGCTAACACAGTCCTTCTGTAAGTTTTCATACAAAGATTGATTATTTGTAGTTTATTTTTATTCTTACATTCTTCATTTAATGATATCAACTTAGTTATTCAGACTTCAATTAAAACATTCATGTTGTACTACAAGGTTCACACTGATAAGGACGACCATCTAAGAGGCACATACTTATAAAGTTGAACATTGAAAGGGGGAATAACATTTGTGGTTATTTGAAATATGTTTCGATTCTCCCTCTCTTATAGAACTTCATAAAACGAACAATCTAGTGATGGCATGGCATAGAGGCTTTAGCTAGCTTATGGTTGCTGATTACCCAAGTATGTGGACTTTTGTTCGTGCTCTGAAAAAAAAGATTAGTCCAAATGGATTGAAAATTGAATAGTCTGTTTCAGGAATCTAGCAACAACACTTATAAAGCCAGTATATGAATGTAGCAGTACGTATCAAACTAGAAAAATACGATGATATATGTACGAGATAACTAGGGTAATAAAAATAACAATTTGTTACCAAATTCGATAAGTTACAGTATTTGCTGAAAGTAAACGTTTTATTACACATTTAGGAAACCACATTTTGGTTTGTTGTAGAACAGAGTGAGAGAGAGAGAGATATTTTACATCATGACAAATGTTATTCCCCCCTTCAATGCTCACCTTTATTAATATATGCCTTCTTGATACGACCTTTCTAACCGAGCACTTTTGAATGGATACAGTGTTGTAACCGTTTATTCACATATAAGATGTTTCAATTGTGTTTAAAAATATACAGTATGAACATAATGTCATAGGAACTTTTGTTTTGTAATTCAAATCAATGAATTGAATTACTATTTATTCATTTCGTTTTCTTTCTTTCTCTCTCTCTCTCTTCTTGATAGTTTAATAGTTCGAAACATTCAACTGAACAAATAATTATTATGCAACCAGAACGTAATTGTTTCCGCCAATCACATATATCTTATCATAAATCCTCTTCTCTTTCATCATCGTTATCATTGTCATCAACATCATCATCAATACATGACAATAATGAAAGCAATCATATAACCAGTAATCTGTCATCAACAACTATTATTTTCAAAGAAAATAAGGAAATAGATGCATCTTTAGTAAAAAATAATGATTTAAATCAATTAAATAATATTTCCAATGATACATTGAATAAATCGAACAGTTCCAATATTGCTGGTCCATCATTTCTCCATACATATTTAAGGGAAACAAAAGTTAGTTGAATAAAGTTTCTTTTTTTTTTTTTTCTCGGTTGTTTTCTTTTCTAAATTCATATTTTGTTAATAATGTGTGTTCGATGTTTCATTCTTTTTGATTATGATCCATTGAATTCATTTGAATTATTTCACAATTTAGAAAAATGGTTTACTGTTCTGCAATTGACAGCTTCACCGTTATGAGCCATTATTAATATGTACATTGTTCACACTAAGCACGACAAGGATAACAATACGTACAAATAGATAAGATTCTGATTACTTCTTGCTTTCTCTGTTTAATAATTTGATGAAAGTAATATTCACCGTATATATTCATGATAATACTTGTATCGTAAACATGTCATATAAAGTGTTTAATCCTGTCAGTCACAGGTCTATTAAAGAATAACTTTCTAAATCAAGTATCATATCAATGTTAGTTGATTAGATCTAGTTATCAGGAAGTCCTGGAACCAAGTTTTCAGCTAGTTAGCAGTCGTCATCGACGCTTATCTGTAATCTTAAGGAAACTGATACTTCTTGAACACCGACCACCAGTCATTGATCGGTCAATGAGAAATATCGTATTGATTAATAATTGAAAATAATCTAATTAGTTTTCATTCAAATCATTTCTTTTACAAATTTAAACAAACCGAGAACGGCAATATCTGCAGAGTACGATGAATTCATTCACCGTATTTCATCGCCTTTCCCCTTCAGCTACACACATACAAGCTAATAGGTTTAGTAACTATTTGTTATTAATATAGCTTCTGCATGAAATTTCAGGAGTTTTAGTGAGCGGCTTTGACAAGTGGAGTGAACTCATGCCAAGTGTGAGACAGTTATCCATCAATAATAAAAGACCATTGCACATTAATAGTAATGGATACTGACACAATTGTCTAGAGGTTAGGTGTTTACGCGCGAGACCTAAGCTTTCGAGTTCGATTTCCACGTTCAGGGTCTTGAATAAACTCTTCTGGGGCGTCCCTTACTATTCTAAAATGGCTGTCCATTTTTAGTGATGGTTCAACTTAGATCTATTCATGATTTCAATGAAATTCTATACTTCCCATAATCCCTTACTAGCTATTAATGTAATGTTTAATTTAAAGAAATGAATTGCCATTAACCATTAAAATGTTTGTAATGAAGAAGCTAAGAGTTCAAGTTATAAGGTTTTTATGATTGTTTAAGGAGATTGTTACAGAATGTTTAAACTGATAAACTTTGTCACATAAAATTCATGGGGTTACACAAACAAAAGTATCACGAACGTACCTTACACAGTACAGTCTCACTAATACCGCGTGGCAATTTGTTTTCCGAATTGGCAACGAATATATTAGCAAAAACCTGTCCCAATAAAATTTCACATAGCCATACCATCTGTTTAATAGTATAAAAAGTTGTTTTATTCAAACTGAACTTTTCACTTATTCATATCAATTGTTTGAGTTACATTTGTAATATGGATATACGTTTTGAATGTTGGTTAATGTTGGTCAATTATTTCCTCCAAAAGTATATCAGTAAAAACAGTGAATACATATTTCTTGAGACCATCAGATTATTTGATACATTTTTTGATCTGTTACTTCTGTGAATTCAAGCGTGTCCTTTGTTCTGCATGCAATCAATTTTTTTACAAGTCAATCCCAGATTGTTTACTGGCCATCAAGTCAGTTAATTCATCATGAAGATTATTACACTCGTCCATACTCTAGGTTTATATAATTAGTTTGTCCATATGCAGATTAGCATGCGTAAGTCTCATGGTCATCATTAACTTGTATGTACCTGAAAAAAAATCAACAAAATTCAATGACTGAATTTGTCGTATTTTGGGAATTTTTTTTAGACTAATTAAATTGCTTTAGATTTTGTAAGGCGGTGGTAATCTTGGAATAATTTTGAGGGAACTGATCCTCCCTGACTTTTCTTTCAGTATTACAGTTACATGTTGATGACGAGTGTAAAATAGCAGGAAACCTTGGTACAGGGCTTTCTGTCGTTTACCTCCAACCATCACCATACATCTGAACATAATGCACGCGATGTTGTGTCACCTAGACCAGTGAGCACATTGCAACTTTGTCGATAGAACTCGGTCTGTACCAAGAAGCACTTGACACACACATGACATTGATCACGACCCACTGATCAATCAATTGTAAATACTTTATATTTTATACAAAATAGCAATAGTGTATTTGCATAAGTTTCTCTGCATTATTAGTAGTATGTTAAGAATCTTGGAATGATCATTAGTAATGTACTCAGGCATAATTTAGTATTTCCAGTTTAAAATAACGAGTACAAAATCAATAATGGTCGTCCATAATAAATTTAATCTTACATTCATGTTTGTAATTGTCTTAGTTTTTTTTTTTATTTGAACATAACAGTACTTCACTTTTCGATAATTAGTCTAATTTGATGATTATTGTACAATTTTATTTGATTTATAATGTTTTTAGAATGAAGTAAATTCAACTAAGACTCTACGTGTGTCAACTAGATCTGAAACAGTACCTCAAAATAAATCAAATCAAATTTCAAACACAATTTTATCTCCAATGGATGAACAAGATGATGCTGATGATCAAGATGATTCATCTGAAGAATCTGAATGGTCAGCTCATATTGATGTTGATATTGGCTGGTGGAGTAGGCAACGTCGTCGAAGAACTAGACGTCAAGTTAATACAAATGATGTATTAAATTCCAATGATACTGAACATTTGAGTTCAAACATTTTGAATTGTACAGAGATGGATCTTGATAATGATGAAATAAATGAAGATTTAACTTCTTTTTATGATGTCGGAGAAGCATCTCTCTCTTCTGGTCATACAGACAGTAATCAAAATGGACCAAATACTGAAAGAACTATTCGACGATCTTTACGTCAACAACGTCGTCTTTTAGTAAAAAGAAGACTTATGCGAGAAGCTAAAAAAGCAGAAGCAAGAGCTGCTCGTGCAGAAATTGAAAAGAAATGCTCTGTTGCTCGTAGATCTAGACGTTTTCTTAATCTAACAAGAGATGATTGTAGTAGAATAGATGAAGATTCCACTAGCCGGGATACATGTATACCAGAATCTTCTAATCATAGTCAATCCATAGAAACAATTACACCTATTCACATTGATACATCTTCTAAAAGAGAACGTCTTAAACGACGTTTAATTCGTAGTCTTGATTATGCTGTAATGGTAAGTATTAAAAGTGTTGTAATCATTTAAATTATTGTATTAATAAGTTAAAAAACATTTTCATTTAATATCTATAAATGTTTATGAATTTGTTTATTTCAGTTAATCACCAATGGTATTCGGGTAATGTTTTAATTGTATCATTCATTTTCTTTGTTCTTCTTATTATCATCATCATCGTGTTATACATTTAATCATTTATTGATTTTCTCTACTTGAAATTTCTCTTTTTATTCTTTTTTCATTATTTTCTCTCTTTTTGTCGTTGTTACAATATTATTATATTTTATTCATTGGATACAAGGTGAATATGCATGATCTTATTACATACATATCATATTAGATAATTATTCTCACTATAATATGTATTCATTTTATGTACAATCGTCTGGGAAACTTCATCATCATCACCATCATCATCATCTTTATCGTTATATGCTTAAATCTTTGTAATAGATTCATTGGTTGCTTGATTGATTGATTGATTGATTCATTCATTCATTCATTCATGTTTGCTTTGGTTCGAAATGTTTTGTAAACTGAGATTGTTAATTTTAGTCGCGGTTTTTCAATCATGAATTGGTTTATTTTAATTTTTTTCCCAGATTACTAAATGTTTCACTTTTAAAATATGAATGATCATGATAGAAGACATTCATTGATGTAACGTCATCTGGTTAACGTTGAAAAATTTACAATGAACAATATTGACTAATGATTAAAAATATATCTGACGAAGAGTAGGTTGTTACTAAAGCTGAAACTTCCACAATCTTCACAAATCTCTCTATACTGATAATAACAATTTACTAACTAGTGACTAGGTTCAAGATGCTACACCCGGAGTTCTAGTGAGATATTGTAACCAATGGAGTACAACCATGCCGAATTTGAATCTGTGTTCCACGATAGACAATTAATGGGTGTTGTGGAATGTTGTAAATTGATTGAAATTTTAAACGCAAACTAATGGCTAAATGTTTACGCACCAGATCAGAGGTACTGTGTTCAATTTCTGGATGCAGAGTCGTGGAATCGTAATCCTGAGAAAGTTCATTGTAGAACGAGACATATGTTCAGTGCTTCTTGGTTCTCTTTAATCCATCTTACTAAAATCAATTTGTTTTTTAAGTTATGAAAATTCTACAATATTTATAAATTCCATACTCTTGATAAAATTTTTATGTTTATGCAACCATAGAAATTTGAATTCGAAACTCACTGTACTTGTACATAACTTTCTGAAGTCGTAAATCACCAACGAATGTACTAATTATTATGTTCAATGGCTTGTCTGTCTAATACCATCAACACAATAAACTTTCATTAACAAGTTAAGTCAAATTTTGGTTTTTAATATACATCAATCAGATTCTCTTGTTTACCACTTAACCTTGAATTGATATATGTGATTACTTATTTACTTCCTTACGCCTGTTACTCTCAATGGAGCATAGGCTGCCGACTAGCATTCTCCAACCCACTCTGTAGTGGGCCTTCCTTTATAGTTCCATCCAATTGTTGTTCATTCTTCTCATGCTTGTCTCCTTTTGTCGGCGTAGTTTGTTTTTTGGTCTTCCTCTTCTATTTCGGCTTTGAGAGTTCTAAGTGAGGGCTTGTTGGGTGCTTTCCTCAATGTGTATCCTATCCACTTCCAGCACTTCTTCTTGATTTCTTTCTCCTCTGGGATCTGATTTATTCTCTTTCACAGTAGGTTGTTGCTGATAGTGTCTGTCCAAATGATCCGAAGTATTTTGCTTAGACAACTGTTAATAAACAGTTGTATCTTCCTCCTGGAGTCTCTCTGGGGCTACTCTGGTCCCAAGCCTTGATAAAGGAGGAGGTTTGGGCATAAGGTTAGTGACCCCATCTCGATAAAAAAACGCTAACCAGAAAAAAATAATTCAAACTATATATATGAATAGCTCAGTGTATATATGTTATCCTTCATTGAGTTTGTAACGTACTCATTTTATATGTAATAATAAACAATGTTTTAACTTCAACTCGTTCGAACATTATTTCAACAACAACAACAACAACAACAACAACAAAAATTCACTTAATACTCATAAAATGAAAGGAGATAAATGTCATTTGTGTATGTTTTCAAATTCCACTGACTGATAACCTTTCATCCATGCTATTTGTAACATTTGTTTACAATCTATATTGTTAAAGAATATTCAAACTTATTAAATTTTATTATTTTGATACGATGATCAAATAAAAGTGGTGACACTATATACATATATGTTACTAGGGAAAGATAATTACCGATCAATGATAGAGATTATATTATCATTAGGTCAAGATATCCCAGAAATACAATATATCATACGCATAGGTCTATTTATTATTTTGAAGAGATCAAGAGCAAGCATTCTAATAGTATAGCACAAATTCATTTTATTTCGTTTAGTTCTCTTCAACTGTTTACAATCTGTGATATTTAAAAAGACACAATTACCAAATGGGTTTACATTACTTATATGAAACAATTTAGTTAGAACTTATATAGAAGATACATTATTATTGTATAGTAAGGGTGTATATTGTAAATATATACATTATGTAAAAGAACATTCTACAACATTCATTGTGTCATGAGTTCAAACGGCCAGAACTTAAGTGATTATATAATGAATAAACGTTGATAGGAATAAAATAAGTAAAGCTCAGTTAGTAAAATAAGATTACTAATCTGAGAGACAGTTGAAATAATATATGCAAGAAATAGTCGAAAAGATGTATTTTAAGACGCAGCAAAAGAATATGTATTACCAAGGCAAGGAAACAATAATAACCATCTCATTTTGAACACATAAATCAGATTTTTAACAACTGATAGCCACCCCTTTCAGCAAATTTCAATAGACTGAAAATACGATCTACACTGATTGGATCACATTATTTCAAATACACAATTGACAAGCAAAAATATAAAGAAAACTAGAGTATAAACTCGACTATATTCAATACAATTATAGACTATGTTCAGTTAATCTAGTATCGGATAGAAATTATAAATTAAACAGTCATTAAGCTGAGTATTTGTCAGTTCATACTCAGTGCCCAATCACTCATTTACTTTCATTAGTTACATATCAGTTTTCTATCTTTATTATTGTTATTATTACTATTCAGGTTTATTTATTTTAACACATAGGTATTGGTACAAGGAGACACCATATACATATGCGCCACACAGATCTCAATTGATTTGTGTGAGGGCTGTGATACTGCCCGGGTGCCCAAACCAAAGCAGAGGGTTTTCTTAGGAGGCCACACCCCGAGCCTTTGACCTAAAGGTCTAACCCACAAGGCAGTGGAGCATCGTGAGGAGATGCAGTCCCATGGTAGCCGGTGACCAACGATTGGTTCATATGCCATTTGTTCCTTTAGGATACTGGAGCCAGTCCATATGCACCATTGGTTTGGGATCCAGTTAATGCCGGTGCCGGACATTCACTTTTCGTCCTCTCATTTTTGTAAACAACACCCTCGGTGCGAGAAGGCAGTGAGTAGGACTTCCCTGGCAGAGGGAGAGCGGACTCTCCCCACTCTCGGCCGTACCAGGGCATTTGGGGGCTACTATTCAGGTCATATATATTGAATATTTTTCATACATCCAAGTGTTTATACACAGTTTTCTTTGATGAGTATAATTTAAGTAATTTATTACGTTGTCTCATTTCCTACATTCCGATGAGATTCCTTTGTTCAGTTTTCCACATACTGTCTGTAACAAATTGAATCAATCAGTTATTAATCAACATAGAACTTGAGAAATGATGTGCATTTTTATAATTTCCTCCATATTACACATTAGTATGATTAGATGAAATTAACAAGATTAGTAGCAGAAGAGATAGAAATAATTTAGTAACAATGATAATGAAAATGAATGCACTTGCAACCTATTGTCCTATGACAGGATGAATCGTATCATTGATGAATAAGTATTATTTGCGATGGTACTATTTGACAAATTACTAACTTTTATCTAACAATTTAGTGGTTTTGATGTTATTATTATTTGTTCATATCGTTTATGTAACACTTCAGTACACGAATGGCGAAAAAATATAAGTTCATCCTTTCTTATCGACTTATATTCTCCATTGTTTAATCTTTCTTAATATCACTAACCGTTAGATTATTTCAAATACTTTACTATATATTTCTCTTTTTTTAATTTCGTCTAACCATCCTCACGCGGTATGACATCATGAAGTGACTCACATTTGTACTAGATTTGATACTAAATATGGCAGGCAGGCAAACTGATATGATAATTTTAGATTGAAATTATGAATCGATTGATGTTAGATGACCATTGAAATGGTCGCACAATTTCGTGGATTGGTTGAGGTTAGACATTAACACCATTGGATGTCGGCTTAGTGGTCCAGTAGGTTAGGCGTTCGCGCGTGTGAGACTGAAGCCCCTGGGTTCGAATGCCGCGACCGGGATCGTGGATGTCCACTGCTGAGAAGTCCCACAATAGGACGAAATGGCCGTCCAGTGCTTCCAGGTTTTCAATGGTGATCTAACATCAATCGGTCCATGATCTCAATCTAAAACTTAGTAATCTCCACAACCCCTATACTGATGATTTGATAATTGTTTATGCTTGTTTATAATGCTTATTTATTTTTTCTTGTACTATCAGTAGTTTTCATGAGTGAATATTTTCATTTTAGACTTGCAGTAGATTACCGTTAACTCGAATACCGTTAGATTGTTATCTATCTCCCGAATGTGAAGGTCATGAAGAAGAATTAAACAAAAATCACTTCATTCTTCCAAATACTGATGTTAATAATTGGGATGGTCCTTATTTTGATTGGTTATCTACTGTTCGACCATCAGCTTCCCCTTATCTACCTCAAACTGGAGATCGCGTCGTTTATTTATATCGTGGTCATCAAGATTACTTATCAAAAGCTTGGGAATGCGGCAATCTACCATTAATGGGTAATTTAGATCAACAAAAAAATTCTCCACCTTCCTTACCTTGGACTACTTGGCCTGATTTACCAGTAAGTTTTATGTTTGTTATGACTTGTGACGTCAATGTATATCATGTGGCGAATTCATCAGTCACAATTTTGATCATTGTCTTCTGTTGTGCCTACTATTCCATCTTTAGTGTAGCGTCCTAAACCTATCTGACCTACACAATTAAGTTTGAAGCAATGTGAATTACAATCCTATTGGCCACCTATCCTCAAGTCTTTCTCTACCCCTATCCCTGAATCCAAAGAGAATTCGCGAACCAGTTTTCTATTATTATCATCATTATCGATATATCATATTTTAAACATACTTCTCTCTCACGTATACTACGATAATACGTTAATACAATCATAAGACTAGTCACGTTATCAAGACCAAGGATTCATGACGCAAAATAGAGAACTAGAATAACACTAGATAATGCTTTATTCAATATAATTACAAGCAGTCACACTCAATAAATCCGGAGTATAAATCAATGGAAGGAAATAGAATTAAATATTTAATGGTCAGTAGGCTAAGTGCCTGCTTTTCCACGCCCAACGATCAATCATGTTTTACTTTCACTACCACATATCGATTATCATATTTTGATCACTCAGCTTAGTCAACACACCACAGCTAACATTATTCTCAAACACTCATTATCAAATTGTACATTACATAATTAATTGGCAATGATTAAGGAAGTGTGTAATACATGATAGTAGTGATTATCATAACCAATAGTTAAATACCTTGGGTAACATGATTCGAAATCGTTTATCATAATGCAGGTACATTCACATTCTTTGTCTCTCCTCAAATCCTGAGATATTAAATTCCTCATGACATTTTCTCACGAATTTATATTATCTTCTTGAATAGTATCTCCGATGCCCAATCATTCCTATGATCACTAATACTGTTATTACCTCTACTATTATAGGTTTCGGTCTGACAAACTCATCTTTGTACTAATGGGGCTATTGCCAACTTAAACCAATGTACAAACATACTAGATTCTTCATTTAGTTTGACTGACTGACCATGGTCAAATGTTTGTCAGTTTTTCTGGATTGGTGGTTTTATCGGTTAAATTGTTAGTCATTTACTCGTTAATTTAAATGTTCAAACTCGATTACTAACCCTATCACTAATTGTACCACCTTTAAGCCGAGTGACATAAATTGGTACTTTGTAAATGTTTTACATAATTCATGCATTTAATGATGAATAGTCCTAACTGTGATTACAATGCCATCAAATATTTGTTTTGATGTTCACACCATACGCTCCCAAATGCCCTTGTACGGCCGAGAGTGGGGAGAGTCAGCTCTCCCTCTGTAAATGCTCTCACATGGCCACGTATATATAGCCTCTGCCAGGGAAATCCTACTCAGTGCGTTCTCACGGTACGAATGTTGTTTATGAAACTAAGAGGACGAAAAGCAAAGTAAACTACTTTAACCGGGGTTTTTGGATATGGAGGATCCACCTAGGAAAGTTGGAAAACCCTGATTCCAAACCAATGGTGCAATGGGCTCTAGGATCCTGAAGGGACAAATGGCGTAATAATAATAACAATAATAATAATAATAATAATAATAATAATAATAATAATAATCACACCATACAATTTTCAATATTGCTAAAACATTCTTAAAATTACTTTCATCAGCTTAAAAAGATACTGTAGTGAACGAAAACTCATGGAGAAGACCAATTTATTGTTTAGTGCAAAATTACAGTGTCTTCGTAATATATGAAAACCATATCTTAAATACTTCATCTGCACATCTGTTACTTGTCTCTTACCAAATTCGTGGTTCCTTCATTTTTGTTATTACAATTAGTCTCTGTTTACTCTCTAGTTCTCTTCAATTCGATCTTCTCAATCTTCTACCATTCATTCCAATTCTGTCTGATATTACTTATATATGTCAACATAAGTAGCATACTAGTTAATGGATTGAGAAATTAAAAAAAAATTACGTTTGAATTTATGAATCATAAAATTTCGAAATACATCTTTATGGCAGTAGTGATATAAAAACTATTGAAAAATATAATGCAATTATCACTTAGTCATTGAAAAGTAAGCAAATAATCAATATTGAAGGTGTTGAGGCTTGCATGTATGATCAGATTATATAAACTAAGTATTCACATTTTAGAGAATAGAATGTCGGTTGTAGCAGGTAGGACTTGTTACTTAGATGGCTAAAAAGTTATTTGTAAGTTTTATTCGTCACAGATTAGTCAAGTTTATTGTGCCATTGAAGACTAGTGAGTTACTTACATACACCTGTTACTCCCGGTAGAGCGTAGGCCGCCAACCAGTATTCTCCAACCTACTCTGTCCTGGGCCTTCCTTTCTACTTCTATCCAATTTTTGTTCATTATTCTCATGTCTGTCTTCATTTCTTGGCGTAATTTGTTTTTTGGTCTTCATCTTAACCTTTGGCAGTGAGGATTCCAGGTGAGTGCTTACCTTGTGACGCAGTTGGGTGCTCTGCTCAATATGTGTCCTATCCACTTCCAGCACTTCTTAATTTCTTCCTCCGCTGGGATCTGGTTTATTCTCTCCCACAGTAGGTTGTTTCTGATAGTGTCTGGTTAACGAATCCGAAGCGTTTTGCGTAGGCAACTGTTAATAAACGCTTGTATCTTCTGGATGATGGCTAGTGAGTACTTGAACAGTTATTTTATCCCAATATGTAACTATTCAACAGTGTATATTCAAAACTCAGGAGAATTCGAGTTCATGGCCTTCAGGTTTTGATACATAGCCTTATTTTTTATAGCCACTTTGTCGTCATTCCGTAGTAGAACTTCAGTCAGTTTATGTTATAGTGTAGCGATTATCCAATCCCATTAGTGATATATCCAAACAGTAATCACAAGTTAGCTTACCACTATAGCCCAGTAGCACACTTCTGAAAAGGGGTCTCATATAAGGACAAAGCAGTTATGCAGTGCTTTCTAATTTTCAGTGGTAACCCAACTGAAATCAATCTGTATCACAAATAGCACCTACGAATTAATCTGATCTCCATCAAACCCCTTCACCTTAACTGTAAAGGCAAGGATCAGCAAAGCAAGGGCCGCATTCCTTCAATTGAAGAACATATGGAACTCAAAACAGCTTTCAATCAATATCAAAGTCAGAATCTTCAATACGAACGTCAAGACAGTCAGTTCAACTGTACAGAGATGAAACGTGGAGAACTACAACAACCATCATCAAGAAGGTACAGGTATTTATAAATAGCTGTCTACGCAAGATACTCAACATACATTGGCCGGATACAATCAGCAACAGCATTTTGTGGGAGAGAACAAACCGGCTTCCAGCTGAAGAGGAAATTAGGAAAAGACGATGGAAATGGATAGGACATACATTGAGGAAATCATCAAACTGAATCACGATAAAAGCCCTAACTTGGAATCCTGAAGGAAAGCGGAAAAGAGGAAGGCTAAAGAACACATCACGTCGGGAAATAGAACTAGATATGAAAAGGATGAATAAGAACTGGAAAGATCTGGGAAGGATTGGCCAGGACATGGTTGGATGGAGAATGCTGGTGAGCGTCCTATGCTCCTTCACGAGGAGTAACAGGCGTAAGTGAGTAAGTAGTTACTTAAATGAGACACTAATTAATGTCTAATTATTTTAAATTATTGGGACATTGATAATTATGATAGTAATAATAACAAAATGAAATAAAAATATGATTTAAAGTAATTAAAAATACACAGTAATTAATAATCATTGAGGAACGGCTACATCTTATATTTGAACATCTGGGTAGCTTGTTAGAATTATAGATGACGCAATTTTTTAAATGTTTAAGGAGCTTTAATTACCCTGCAGAACAGTAGTATTGGAAGTAAAGCATCCCAGGGAACACTACTCACTGACCTTAAACTAACTAACTAAACAGATAACAAGAAACATTGAAAATTATGAAGAATATTTACGAGATTTTAGCATAGTTTTTTTGATATTGTAAAGTAATTTTATCATAAATATAACGAAAAAGTTATCCAAAACAAAAGACAATGGAAATGGATAGGACATACATTACGCAAATCATCAAATTGCATCATGAGACAAGCGCTAACTTGAAATCTTGAAGGGAAGTGGATAAGAGGAAGGCAAAGAACACAATACGTCGGGAAATAGAAGTATATATGTAAATGATGAATAACAACTGGAAAGGATTGCTTAGGAGAGAGGGTTATTGGAGAATGCTAATGAGAGGCCTATGCTCCTTCACCAGGAGTAACAGGCATAATTAAGTAAGTAACTGTTAGTAATAATAGAGGTAAATTTAGCATATAAGTTTACTCAATAAAAAAGAATTCATTACTAATTAAATAATATAATTATTCGATTGTTTTATTCTTTTTATACTTTTAGCAATTTTTATGTTGTACAGTACAAAATATCACTTATCATATTGTACGTATAGCTGGTAATTATAATCATTCATCAAATGTTTCACGTTCATCATCATCATCATCATCATCATCATCCACTTCATTATCGAATTCATCAGCTTTACATTTAAAGAAAATGACTAGAAAATATTTAAATACTAAACTTTTAAGACAATCAAAACAATTAATTAATTTAAAAGATTTAAAATTATCTTATCATAAAGAATATAAGACAATTAATCTTACATCTACTTCTTCCTATTCTACTACTAATACTACTAATACTACCACAACATCATCATTAACATCATATAATAATGATAACCCGATTGCATCAACTAGTCTTAATTGTGGTAATACTTATTCTTCATTATCAGCATCAACATCAACATCATCATCATCATCATCAGATGATGGAGATAGTTTTGTTCGACTTATCACTTTAGAATTACAAATTGAAGAGAATCAACCATATAGAAAATTAACATGTGGTAAAATTAATACTGAATATTCTAAACATTATTATAATGAGAAACAACAATATCTTTCGAATATTATTCATGTTACATATCATGATGTAGATGGAATTTTAGAATTTATTATACTTCGACGAATATTTGATGCATCATTAAAACGGGAATGGAAACCAGGTTAGTAATAAATTTTAAATATTCTAATTTGTTTGTAATATTATAGTGTTTTGAAAATAACACAAAAAAAAATGTAATTGTTAGTTTATAGTAAGCTGTTAAATCAGGGACGTACATTTTGTTTCATTTAGGATTCGAATCCAACACCTTTTTCTTTAAATGTTCAATGGGTTATCCATTAATCTGTTGAGTTTAGCCCGACCGCCGATTGTTTCATATCTTTTTTTTCTACGTACTAAATCTTTCATGATAAGTCTTTATGTAGTATGAGACTAATAAGTATGTAAATGTGTATACAGTTTCACATTTTCCACTATAAAGTCAAAAATTCAAAACTAAACTTCATTCGTTTCCTGCATAAAAATATGATTATGAAATAATTCATCTATTATTCGACAACAAACCCACGTGTTGCGTATGCTTGAACACCGATTACCACAACGTGCAATGCTAACCGGTTTAGGGGATAGTTGGAAGAAAGTGCTTGAAGACACTAACATCTGGTCTGGTCCATATTGGTGTATGTAGACTACTTAGTTGGGTGCCGCGCGACTATCATAACCAATCACTGGAGACTGAGTGACATGGCTGAGAATCGATCACAATGGCGTCGGTGTATATACTCTCTATCTTCCTTTAAACTGTGAGATTAAAATCGCTTCATATCTTTCTTTCTACGAACTAAAGCTTTCTTCCTGTACTATATTGTTATAGGCAATCTTTCTTTTATACATTACCACCATTGAATTAACTACTCCTATGAATCGATGTTCATCTAGTATATCCTTAAATATGTCACTATACTTCTTTATTGACTTTTCATAAGTCAAAATAAGAGTAAACCGGAGAAAAATATATTCATTTCAAACAATCTGTTCAATTTGTCTAATAAGTCTTCATCTATTATCCGCACCTTTCTCAATTCGTGCATATCTTGGTCTCATGTAGTATATTTCACTTCCCCTTGATTCTGAGATCACTACTGTTGAATTGTGAACATGGTTGAACTCCATAAATATTTTCAAATAGAACGAAATCATTGTTTACTGGTTTACTGTAAGTTTTACCTGTATTACTTGGCCTCACAATTGCTTGGAACCGCCGAGGGTGGGAAGGGTTTGCTCTGCCTCTCATATGGACACGCGTATATTTCCACTGCCAAGGAAGTTTTATTCATTGCCTTCTTGTGGTTGCGTGTTTTTTATGAAATTGAGATAACGAATGCCCAGTGCTTAAACCAAGTTTTTGGGTATGGCGCATCCGTGTAGACTAGTTGGGAAAACCTAGTTCTAAAACATTGGTACACATGGGTCTCTTTATCCAGAGGGAACAAATGGCGTATGAACATATTGTTGATCACCGAGTACCATGAAACTGCATCTCGTAAAGTTGATCACTGGATTGTGAATTAGAGGTGTATTTAAACGTGTGAAGCAGTGGTCTCGTGAGAAAATCACTTGTTTCGGTTGTGGCACCCTAATAGTATCTCACATACACAAATTTAATGATTCATTGTACGGCGTGTATATATCTGTATATGTGTTTTCGTACCATTGTTGATTGGTTTATTTTTAGTAATACAAATAAACAATATCATTTATTCATTTATATTAGGTGATATGTTTATATGCCCTGTTGGAGGTGATTCGTGGTGGCGTGGTCTTGTAATTCGAAATCTTTCAGACGATGATTTATCAACATTACAACCTAGCACTTCCCTAGTAGAAATTAATAATGCAATGCATTCTTTAAACACTACATATTTAGTTCGTTGGTTGGATGAGAATGACTCATGCTATGATGGTAATACTAATAGTGGTAATGACAATAGCACAATCAATGATAACTATTCACAAAATTTATTAGCTTTATCAGAAACTAACCATGCTGGATCATTGAATAAATTACCAGATAATATTGATCATGTTAATTCATGGGATATGTATAAATGGTATGCAGAATCTGCTGATATTGATAACAGGTCAACTAATGCAACAGACTCAGGTTAGTGCCTTTTTTTTCTTCTTTTGTACTGAATGTCATTTATTCATTCTATCTATATTTATTGCATAACCTGACAGTAACTTTCTCCCTGTCTCTCTCTTTTGTTAACCTAAGCTATTTTAAGGGTATTTTCAAACGATAACTGTGAAATGGTGGAAAAGATTTGTAGCTCAGGTGTATGATTTTGATGGAGTTTTATACTCTGAGATAAGTAGTTTGGTGGTGGAGCTTTTATCGTTATTCTGAACGACATAAAACTGAACTGACTATGAGCCATATGTGAAGAAATTCGAACACTTCATATCTATTTGAAGTTTGTGCTGATGACATCGTTCAGAAGAACGATAAAAGCTTTGGGTGCCTGTTTGGATTTACCACAGATTGAAATTTTCTGTTTAGATTGTTATGGGCTTGAATGCTGTCTAGTTTTCTTAAACGTCAATATAAGATTATCCCCTTGTTGGATGTATTTATAATTGTAAAAGGGAAGTCGTCACGTAGTGGTTAACGTTATTCATTTTTGAACCACTAAGTCACGGGTTTGAACCTCACGGGCTTGGATAACTTGGTTTAAGTACCACCAGGTCTCGAACTTACAGTGTAACTCAATCTAAAGTACCCATCATGCATACCTATTAAATGAGTTCATTTAAATAAATCTTAAACTTTTATTATATATATACTCCTTTATAAACATTTCCTCATGTATTATGCCAACTTTTATTTCTTCAGAATTTACATTATATGGTGGTTTAGTTGATGGTTATGTACATATTTCTCATGAACAAATATGTTTACTATATGGTACTTCAAAATTTTGGGATCCAACTAATCATTCAACTGCCTATCTTGAAGAAATTAAGCGTCTCGTTGAGTGTATAACTCAGGTAATTATTTTCATTCATTCTTGTTACATTTTAAATCCTGAAATGATATTAACTAGATCACTAGTGAAAACATGTGAGCACTGAACGATCGTTTCGTGTTAGTGTGAGACTTCTTAACGGTACGGATCTTTGATGCTGGATCCGTGTATCGAACCTGGCACATTCGATCTCACAATTGATTCTCGAATCCGAAGATGGGAGTCTGCACTGTCAAAGGGTTTCATTCTAGGACGAAGCAGTTGTTTAGTGCTTCTAGGTTTTCATTATGTTAGCGAGACATAGATTGGATTAAAGCATGCTCAATGCACGATTGCGTTGGCGCACGCTGATTGGCTGATTCTTACCCAATCAGCGCTAGCCGATGCTTAGAGAATACTCTAGATTCTTCTTATGTAAAAACTATAAATATACTAACGGTTTTCCTTTTGTGCTTCTTGCTTCCATCTAACCTTTTTATTTGGAATATAATCTCCTTCCTGCTCAACCGTGTTCTGATTTGGGGCCTTGTCGAGTGAATCTGTGTCCATGAATGCTAAGCAATAAGAATAGCTGGGTTAAAACCGTAAGAGAGAAAATATAACAGTGGCGACGGGGAAAAAGGAAAATAAACTCAAGATGCCCATATCAGATGACCAGCTTAACTGAATACTACTACAACAGCAAGCACAATTAGATGCACAATTGCGGTTGTTAGGGACTGACTCAACAGCTTAACATCCACTGCCCGAGTTCACATGATATTTCAAGTACGTCTTGTGATGCAGTTGCTAGCAGCATCCCAGAATTCATCTATGATCCCGAAAGCGGAAATACTTTTCTCACGTGGTTCAAACGTTGGGAAGATACATTTAGAATGGAATTCTGTAACCAAGACGACGCGTGGAAGACTCGATTGTTGGTACGTAAGGTGGGAAGCAATGTACATGCACGCTATGCTGATCATATATTGCCAAAGTTACATCGAGAGCTCAGTTTCGGGAGACAGTAATTCAATTGTCAGAGATATTCGATGAATCCTCCTCATTGTTTAGTATTCGACATCAGTGTCTAAATTTGGTGAAACGCGAAGCCGATGAATATGGTGTTTTAGCAGACATCGTCAACAGTGAATGCGAACGGTTCAAGTTACGCTCGTTGACAGAAGACCAATTTAAATGCTTAATACTCATCAAAGCTCTTCAGTCACCACAAGATGCTGAGATCAGGACTAGACTTTTGGCTCGACTGGATCAAGACCCAAACGTCACACTCAGAACATTGACAGATGAGTGTAAGCGGCTCCAAAGCATCAGACACGACAACGAGTTGATTGAACGGGCAAATCCTAATTTAACCTGCAGTAGTGTCAATGCTATTATTAGGTTAAAAGTTCAGAAGCCGATAACAACTCGTAACAAACCAACAACTGCATGCTGGTTATGTGGTGATTGGCATTATGTACGATTCTGTCCATTTAAGAAGCATAAATGTCAGGTGTGCAACAAACGTGGACATAAAGAAGGTCATTGTCCACCGAATCATACGTCTCATCCCAAAAAGAAGCATAAACGTTCTCGACATGTGAAATCAACCGAGCCTAACTCTCTTTCTCTGGTAGCTGCCTTTCAAACAAACTATGACATTCGGAGAAAGTATGTTGCCATCCAGATAAACGGCATATCAGCTCGTCTTCAAATTGACACGGCATCAGATATCACCTTAGTGTCTAGAGAAACGTATAACTTGCTGGGTAAACCACCAATGAAGCCATCTAAGAAAACGGCCAAAAACGCATCAGGTGGTGTGCTAAAACTGGTTGGTGAATTACAGTGTGAATTTTCCTTCAATGGAACTAACTGTAAAGGAATACGTTACCTAACAGAACGGCCAAACCGTGATCTTCTTGGTCTAGATATGTTAGATAAACTTGCAATAATGGATGTACCGATTAACAGTGTCTGCAACGTATCGTGTTCATCATTAGACACCCCAGTACTTGCAAAGAAGACAGGTGAAAGGTTACTAGGAAAACTAAAAAGAAAGTTTGCCTCTGTTTTTCAGAATAGCCTTGGTCACTGTATCAAGTTGAAAGCTCATTTACCATTGAAACCAGATGCCAAACCTATTTTTCATCTGAGACGTCCTGTACCATATGCTGCTCTTGAGCTTGTCGATCAGGAACTTAATCGTTTGAAACAGGCTGGTGTAATCCAACCAGCCAACTACTCTGCATGGGCCTCACCGATCGTAGTGATTAAAAAGGCCAATAGAACTAAACGCATATGTGCCAATTTCTCGACCGGTTTAAATGCTACATTAGTTGTGTATCAATATCCCTTACCAGTTCCTGAAGACTTGTTTGCCAAACTTCATGGTGGGACATGTTTCGCGAAAATAGACTTTTCCGATGCCTATCTGCAAGTGGAAGTAGATGAAGACAGTAGAGAGCTTCTGACCATTACCACTCATCGAGGATTATTTCAATACACCCGTCTACCATTTGGCATCAAGACCGCACCTGCCATCTTTCAGCAAATAATGGATACGATGCTACCAGGTATACCTGGTACAGCAGCTTATCTAGATGATATCTTAGTTATGGGTTCAACTGACAATGAACTTTCTGATCGACTACATGAAGTCCTTAACCGAGTGTTGGAATATGGTTTCCAACTACGTGAGGAAAAGTGTATCTTCTTTATGCATTCCATCAAATACCTTGGTTTTATCTTAGATAAGAACGGTCGCCGTCCAGACCCTGCCAACATCGAAGCCATTCAGAAGATGCCTGCACCAACTGATGTCTCTTCATTAAGATCCTTCTTGGGGTTAATCAGTCATTATAGCACATTCTTGCCTGAAATGCATCGAGTGAGAGGTCCCCTGAATGAATTACTACCAAAAGATAAACCTTGGCAGTGGACAGCAGAATGTCAAGCATCTTTCAACAGAGTCAAATCAATGCTCAGCTCAAAGATTTTTTTGACACACTTCGATCCCAGCTTGGAAATTGTTGTTGCATCTGATGTATCCAGTCATGGAGTTGGAGCAGTGATATCTCACGTGTTTCCGGACAAATCAGAAACGACAATTGCCCATGCTGCTAGATCACTTACCCCAGCCGAGCGAAACTAGTCAAATTGAAAAAGAAGGGGAATGTGGTTTGTCAGGTGTCAGTTGGCTCAGAAGTTTGGGTACGTCATGCTAACCAATTGAAATCAACTTCGATAGCCGGCAACGAGATTCAATATCGATTACCTCTTGATGTTCTGCTAGACACCTTTGAAATCAAAACGCCTGGAACAGACAGGTCAGTTTCTGTGTAAGCAAAGAGTGATACTTCTTTATTGCCTAGACGATGGACAAATCGAAAGCACAGGACAGTTACTCGGTTGTAGTTGGACCCTAGCACCAGACCCTACGAATTTTTTCAAAGGTGAGATGTTAGTGGGACATAGATTGGATTTAAGCATGCTCAATGCACGATTGCGTTGGCGCACGCTGATTGGCTGATTCTTACCCAATCAGCGCTAGCCGATGCTTAGAGAATACTCTAGATTCTTCTTATGTAAAAACTATAAATATACTAACGGTTTTCCTTTTGTGCTTCTTGCTTCCATCTAACCTTTTTATTTGGAATATAATCTCCTTCCTGCTCAACCGTGTTCTGATTTGGGGCCTTGTCGAGTGAATCTGTGTCCATGAATGCTAAGCAATAGGAATAGCTGGGTTAAAACCGTAAGAGAGAAAATATAACACATTGGTAGTCTTATTAAGATCAATCAACCAAATTCGTTTTTGGTAATATTTTAGCCACTTGTCATCATACTATAATCTGTAACATTGGTTATCCTTCAGTACACATTACCTGTTAATATCATGAACGTGATCGTGATATCAAACTTATAATCTTTAGTTTGATTGAGAATTCTCTCTCCATTCGTATAAAATTATAGTAAGGATTATTAAATTTTTCACATACCAAAATGTATAATCTATTTTCCACAATATAATCTATTTGTTTAACTTCAAATTTGTTCAACATTTATGTTTATACTTCACCTCCTGGAATTTTATTTCAATGTTAATCAGATAGAAAGGAATATTTTCCATAAGCAAATTGTTCATCATCATGGTTTTAGTGCGTGGGCTGAGATACTGCCCGGGTGCCCAAACCGAAGCAGGTGGTTTTCTTAGGGGGCCACACCACGAGCCTTTGACCCAAGGGTCTAGTCCACAAGGCAGTGGAGCATCGTGAGGAGATGCGGTCCCATAGAAGCCGGTGACCAAAAGTTGGTTCATACGCCATTTGTTCCTTCAGGATACTGGAGCCAGGCCATGTGCACCATTGGTTTGGGATCCGGTTATAGCACCGGACGTTCGCTTTTCGTCCTCTCATTCTCGTAGATAACTTCTTTCATGACCCATACACAAATCAATATTTATATGTTCAAATAAATAAATAAAATGTACTTCATAGCATGTATGTTATGTAATTTAAATTAAGGACCATTGAAAATTTACTTTTCGGTTACATAATGGATATTTTTAATAATTTCAACCGCGTTTACAAGCAAATATTACCAATTTTTACTTCATTTATATAAATATACAAGTTATCTACTTTAAAGTTTGTACGAAATACATGAGGCTTTATCTTAATTATAATTGACCCCCTTAAGGCCGTTAGTATATTATTCTTTTACCGATACAACTTCTCCTTACTTATACTTATATAAGTAGAATTTCAAGGAGTATATATACATTAATCTCATTCCAACTTTGCAAACTGAAGATATATTAACACTAAGCTTGCACGTAAACAACATGACATGTGAACATAATACACAATCGAGAATCAACAAGCCTATTATTAACATAGACGTCTCCAAGTTGATGAATGTAGGAAAAGAAAGTTTGTTTAGTGAAATCGTAATCATAAAATGTAACAAAATTTCTTAATGAAAATTTTTACGTTACTTAACAACATGTTCCTGGATAAAGTAATTTTGCATAGTCAGCAAGTAGTAAATAATCAAAATTCCAGGATTTATTTATTTATTTGAACACATAAATATTGGTACAGGGGGGCACCAAATATATATGCGCCACACAAAACAATGATAATTTGAAGAGAAGGAGAAAAGAGAAAAAAAATTAATGAACGTGGGGAATTATAAAAAAAAGGGAGAGAGCGAGAACAATGGTGGGGGAAACGGAAAGGTACAATCAGAACAGATCTTTCAGTTAAGGAAGAATACGACCACCTTTTTATGGAGAAAGTAAGAGGTTACAACAGGATCGCCACTGGCTTCTATTCTTAGCCATATCTGATAACGTCTCTAGCCACTGCGTTACACCGTCTCTCGGACTCCAACCAGGGAGTCGTGAAGGACCAACAGAAGCTAGCCCTTTACAGCTTTCTTTCATACCACGACACCATGTCATAAACTGACCACCTCTCCGCTTTTTCCAACCAGTCCCAGAGTCGGCAAATAATGCACGACGTGGTATTCTCTGGGACGACATTCGTAGAACATGTCCAAGCCACCGAAGTCGGTGTTTCAAGATGGTGACACCAAATGCCCTGGTATGGCCGAGAGCGGGGAGGGTTCACCCTCTCGAAATACTCTCACACGGCCACGCGTATACAGCCTCTGCCAGGAAAGTCCTACTCACTGCCTTCTCGCACCACAGGTGTTGTTTACAAAAGTGAGAGGACGAAAAGAGAATGTCCGGCGCTTTAACCTGACCCCAAACCAATGGTGCACATGGCCTGGCTCCAGTATCCTGAAGGAACAAATGGCGTATGAACCAACTTTTGGTCACCGGCTTCTATGGGACCGCATCTCCTCACGATGCTCCACTGCCTTGTGGACTAGACCCTTGGGTCAAAGGCTCGTGGTGTGGCCCCCTAAGAAAACCACCTGCTTCGGTTTGGGCACCCGGGCAGTATCTCAGCCCACGCACTAAAACCATGATGATGAACAATTTGCTTATGGAAAATATTCCTTTCTATCTGATTAACATTGAAATAAAATTCCAGGAGGTGAAGTATAAACATAAATGTTGAACAAATTTGAAGTTAAACAAATAGATTATATTGTGGAAAATAGATTATACATTTTGGTATGTGAAAAATTTAATAATCCTTACTATAATTTTATACGAATGGAGAGAGAATTCTCAATCAAACTAAAGATTATAAGTTTGATATCACGATCACGTTCATGATATTAACAGGTAATGTGTACTGAAGGATAACCAATGTTACAGATTATAGTATGATGACAAGTGGCTAAAATATTACCAAAAACGAATTTGGTTGATTGATCTTAATAAGACTACCAATGTGTTATATTTTCTCTCTTACGGTTTTAACCCAGCTATTCCTATTGCTTAGCATTCATGGACACAGATTCACTCGACAAGGCCCCAAATCAGAACACGGTTGAGCAGGAAGGAGATTATATTCCAAATAAAAAGGTTAGATGGAAGCAAGAAGCACAAAAGGAAAACCGTTAGTATATTTATAGTTTTTACATAAGAAGAATCTAGAGTATTCTCTAAGCATCGGCTAGCGCTGATTGGGTAAGAATCAGCCAATCAGCGTGCGCCAACGCAATCGTGCATTGAGCATGCTTAAATCCAATCTATGTCCCACTAACATCTCACCTTTGAAAAAATTCGTAGGGTCTGGTGCTAGGGTCCAACTACAACCGAGTAACTGTCCTGTGCTTTCGATTTGTCCATCGTCTAGGCAATAAAGAAGTATCACTCTTTGCTTACACAGAAACTGACCTGTCTGTTCCAGGCGTTTTGATTTCAAAGGTGTCTAGCAGAACATCAAGAGGTAATCGATATTGAATCTCGTTGCCGGCTATCGAAGTTGATTTCAATTGGTTAGCATGACGTACCCAAACTTCTGAGCCAACTGACACCTGACAAACCACATTCCCCTTCTTTTTCAATTTGACTGTAGTTTCGCTCGGCTGGGGTAAGTGATCTAGCAGCATGGGCAGTTGTCGTTTCTGATTTGTCCGGAAACACGTGAGATATCACTGCTCCAACTCCATGACTGGATACATCAGATGCAACAACAATTTCCAAGCTGGGATCGAAGTGTGTCAAAAAAATCTTTGAGCTGAGCATTGATTTGACTCTGTTGAAAGATGCTTGACATTCTGCTGTCCACTGCCAAGGTTTATCTTTTGATAGTAATTCATTCAGGGGACCTCTCACTCGATGCATTTCAGGCAAGAATGTGCTATAATGACTGATTAACCCCAAGAAGGATCTTAATGAAGAGACATCAGTTGGTGCAGGCATCTTCTGAATGGCTTCGATGTTGGCAGGGTCTGGACGGCGACCGTTCTTATCTAAGATAAAACCAAGGTATTTGATGGAATGCATAAAGAAGATACACTTTTCCTCACGTAGTTGGAAACCATATTCCAACACTCGGTTAAGGACTTCATGTAGTCGATCAGAAAGTTCATTGTCAGTTGAACCCATAACTATGATATCATCTAGATAAGCTGCTGTACCAGGTATACCTGGTAGCATCGTATCCATTATTTGCTGAAAGATGGCAGGTGCGGTCTTGATGCCAAATGGTAGACGGGTGTATTGAAATAACCCTCGATGAGTGTTAATGGTCAGAAGCTCTCTACTGTCTTCATCTGCTTCCACTTGCAGATAGGCATCGGAAAAGTCTATTTTCGCGAAACATGTCCTTAATTTATATTACATAACATACATGCTATGAAGTGCATTTTATTTATTTATTTGGACATATAAATATTGATTTGTGTAAGGGTCATTATACTTCACAGGTGCCCAAACCGGAGGTTGTTTTCTTAAGGGGCCACACCTCGAGCCTTTGACCTAAAGGTCTGAACTACAAGACAGAGGAGCAACGTTAGGAGATGCAGTCACATGCTAGCCGGTGACCAACAATTGGTTCATACGCCATTTTTCTCTTCAGGATACTGGAATCCATGTGCATTATAAGCTTGTAATCAGGGTTTTCCAACTCCTGTGGGTGAACCCCCTCGTGTCCACCAACCCGGTGAAATCGCCGGACATTCTTTTTTCGTCCTTTCAGTTTTGTGAACAACACCCGCCTAACTAGAAGGCAGTGAGTAGGACTTCCCTGGCAGCGGCTGTATACGCGTAACCTTGTGATAGTATTTCGAGAGGAAAAGCTGACTCTCCCCACCCTCGGCCGTACCAGGGTGTTTGGGAGCAGATTTTACGCTAAAGCACTTGGTGTGGTTCACTGTAAATCTCAATTCAAGGTTTCTTAGATTTGTGCAAGAAAAATGACAAGGTCATTGCGTCACAATAACTGGTATCAATTCATACTGGAAATACTGATTCTAATTTGTATACCTAACTAAAAACTTCATTTTAATTCTTAATACCTTATCCCGTCCCTATTATTGTTTATAAGTTATATAATGTCTTAATAATATTGCTATTCTATTTTCCTAAATGTAAACAGTCTTCTTTTTTAAATTCTTTGATATTGTTTGTTTGAATGTTCTCATTGACATTTAGGGCTGCAATTGATTAGTCTCTTATTGGCATATGTGCATACTGTGCGTGTTGCCTCGATATAACCTTAATTCACATGCATTATATACAAAGATGGATAGTGGCTAGCAATGGAATCCAGGACACACGTTTCGTCCTATTTTGTACTCGTCAGCTAGATGTATGTACATATGCTAATAAGAAATTGATCAATTACAGTCTTGAACATTAATGAGAAGATTCAAACAATCAATACTAAATGAATTTAAACTTCACCCCATTACACAAGTAAGTGACTATTCGAATTCAATAGCTAAGTAGATAATGTAATAACGTTTGAAGCAAACGGTTCTAGGTTCGAGTCCCACGATGAACATCAAGTCTAAGATGTAGATATATCTAGCTGATCATTTTAATCATTATAAAACTTTTCTATTTGAACTATTGATTAATTTTATTTTGTTTTATTCTTCTTCTTCTTATTATTATTATTATTATTATTGTTTTCTTTTCATTTCTTATTTATAGATAATGCAATTAGATATAAGTGAACAATTTATTAATCCAGTTGATTTAGCTGCATATCCTGATTATTTATTTATTAATGTATATCCAGTTGATTTAAATTTTATATTAAATCGTTTATTAAATGGTTATTATCGTCAATCTTTATCAATTCAATCAGATTTTTTACAATTACTACATAATACTATACGTTATAATTTACCAGGATCATCTATTGTAAAAAATGCTCAATTAGTATATGAATTAGGTTTATATTGTATACAAAATAATGTGAAATGTGTAAGTTTTCTATTTTCTCTTTCTTTTTTTCTTTTTTTTTTAATGTTTAATATTCTCTACATTATTGCGATAAGACTATTTATTTTATTATTATTATTTATTTTAACACATAGGTATAGGTACAAGCAGGCACCAAATATACATGCGCCACACGAATCTCAATTGATTTGTGTGAGGGCTGTGATACTGTCCGGGTGCCCAAACCGAAGCAGGTGGTTTTCTTAGGGGGCCACACCCCGAGCCTTCGACCTGAACGTCTGACCCACAAGGCAGTGGAGCATCGTAAGGAGATGCAGTCCCATGGTAGCCGGTGACCAACGATTGGTTCATATGCCATTTGTTCCTTCAGGATACTGGAGCCAGCCCATGTGCACCATTGGTTTGGGGTCCGGTTAAAGCGTCGGATATTCGCTTTTCGTCCTCTCACTTTTGTAAACAACACCCGTAATGCGAGAAGGCAGTGAGTAGGACTTCCGTGACAGAGGCTATATATACGTGGCCATGTGAGAGCATTTCGAGAGGTAGAGCGGACTCTCCCCACTCTCGACCGTACCAGGGCATTTGGGGGCTATAATTTATGGATGACCTTTGAGCGATGTTAAAGTGACCTTAAAAGTGTTCATCTAATAACTAAGACCAAATGATGGTTATAAACCAATGTGTGAAATTAGAATTATAATTTACAGTTGATATAGGGTTAAGGTTAGGAATTCGATTTATGGGATTTCATCATGAACTGACATCAACTATACTACCAAAACTCTTTTAAACCAAGTGGATAAATGAATTTCGTGCCAAAATCCAACACCTTTTTTTGCCTTATAACCGATAGGTTTGTCCATAAATTATAGTCTCACCAGAATTGCTTCCAAATACGTTTGATATAAATTACAGTTAATTTTATGCATTTTATTTAACCTTTGAATTACCTATTGTTAATATACATATGATCAATGTTATGTAAGATTATGTTAATTTATTAATGAATGATTGATTGTTAAGTTGAGTTTTTCAATCTAACGTTATTAGATGGAATCCTAATCCTGTTATTAGTCAGTAGTCGGTGATTTTAAACAATATGACTTTTTTCGCGATACTAACTAGTGTTGAGAATGGTTCGAAGAAAGCTAGGGGCGGCTAAACAAAATATGTGGCATCAGTGCTTGAAGTCAATAACTTCTAATCTGAGTCATGTTGGTGGATGCAAACTACTTAGTTGGGGTCCACGTGACTATCGTAACCAATGATTGGAGACTTTGAGTGACATGGCTCAGAATCGACCACGATGGCGTAGGTGTATACACTCTCTATCTTCTTTTGAACCGTCAGATTAAAATTACATTGTATCTTTCTTTTTTCCGGTATTATATCCTTATGCACAATCTTTCTTTCATATATTACCACCATTGAATTAACTACTTCTATGAATGGATTTAGTGTTCATCTTGTTATGCTAATCAGTAAAGTATGGTAACTTGGACCGATGCATATATATGCCTGGTCCTACGTTGTAGCTAACTGACTGACTTTAATTGACATTATCAAGGTTCTCTGTTCTATTCATTAATTAGTTGATTCTCGTTTTATTTTTGTAGACATTTTTATTTTTATATATAATCAAAATTGTTCTCATAGTTTCACTAGTATCAAAGGTCTCTTCTCTCTCTTTGTGTGTTCGTTATTAGCTTTGAAGGGCTGTGATATTAGTAGTCGTTCGATCTATCCAGTTCACGTAAATTCCATTTGGTATTAGAAAAACCACGAAACTTTGATTTTGTCACAATCACTCAATTTGCAACCACTCGACCTTAGGTTCAAACTCTGCAAATTTTGAACAGTGTTATGTTCTGCGATTTGGTTGAGCTATTGTCGACGTTCCTTAATACTGAACTAGTGCAACTAGGAAGAACATAAACACAACTGTGTAGAGTAGTTTGTTGTCAAATGGCGTAGAGTTATAATCACAATTCTCTTATATTCATCAGTAAACCAACTGACGCTTAGAGGAGTATATGTAAGCGGTGACACTGCACAGACGAGTAACTAGATTACATACTACGACTCACTGACTGTCTCATGTGTTACAATGTCCGGTACTCAATTACCATATACCGAAATTAAGATATCAAATAAAAACTTCACCTTCCTCGTTTTTAATAACCGATAATTACTGTTATTTCTATCATGTTTGAATAGAATTTAACCAAGTCGACTTGTTATTGAATAGCTTCCTATTTATTGTAGACAGTAAAGTTAACAAAAAAAAATAACAGACTGATCAACTGCATTCCTAACGCATCAGTGGGAAGATTCAAACAACGAACGCAAATGAATTGAAATGCACCCAATAACACAAGGCAGTGGTCATCTGAATTCAGTAGCTTAGTGGATAACGGGACGACGTTTAAAACAAACTGAAATGGATTCGAGTACCAAAATAAACATCAACTATAGGATGCAAGTATATCCATCTGATGAATCCGTGATAGGATAAAACTCACATCCTGTTTTCTACCGCTAGCCACCAACCAACTATGCTTTCGGAAAATAACTATTTATAATTAGTTTACTGTTCTGGTGCTTTTCACCTCTTAAATAAATTGTAATGTGATATATATATGCTTATTCAATTTATCGTAATCTTTTATCTATTTGAAATAGGATGAAGTTTTACGCCGATATAAGCTTCTCACTTCTACCAATATACCTTCTCCAAATTTGGAGAACAGTGGTCAAATCACCGCAACAACTTCATCGAATTCATTTAATGATAATCTAACTGTTGAGAAACGTACCCGAACCAAGACATGTCATATTAATAGAAAGGAAAAAATTGTAAATAAATCTTATTCTTCTAAGCAAAGGAAAGAGATTCACCGACGAAGATCATTAAGATTGAATCAATCACTATCCAAACGTTCTTATGGTGTGTATCTCAATAATAATGATGATGATGATGTAAGTAATAATTCAAACAAATTAAATAAGCATCAAAGACATTTTCAAATAAGAGGAAGAATGTCTGCACGAAAAACAATTTCGACAAGTAATAGTTCAGTTACTTGTGGTTCTTCATGGATTACTGATGCTTTGAATCTTATCCAAGAACTGTTGAATCATCGTAGAAGTTTTTATTTTCGTGTACCAATTGATCCTTTAGAATATCCAGATTATCATAGTATTATTGAACGTCCAATGGATTTATCTACTATTCAAAAGAAACTCATAAATACTCAATCAAGTTTGCATTCATCATCATCATCATCATCACCACCAACAACAACAATAAAATATCATATTCGTAGTCGTATCCAACAAGAATATAATCCTAGCGATTTGTTATTCGATTTAAATTTGATAGTATCCAATGCAAAATTGTATAATACTGATCCTGATACTCAAGTGTTTGATGATACTTTATGGTTGGAAAATTGGGTTAATGATGTAATGACACCTAGTTTATTACGATTTATTGAATCGTTTGATAATTATAATACGTCGTCTTGTACGAAATCGGAGGCGATTTCTCATCAAGATATAAAACATGAAGGTCATTCTAGACGACATTCATGTTCAACACGATCTGGTAATACTTCTAATGATGAAAAGAGTTACATAATAAATGATGGAACATCGTCGCTGTCACCACCAGGTTTGTTTTATACTTGTTAGTAATTGGAAACAAAGTCTGTTTCTCTTTTTTTATTTTCGCTTTATGTTACCTGGTCATTGATTTATTTAACTGAATTAATAAATATCAGTCAAGTAAACTTCTACACTGGAGTATTTTCCAAAAAACGAAACAATGATAAGATCTCTAAATTACTCAAAAGTTATAATTTGAACCATTAACATTAAGTAGGATACCCTTAGGTTACTAGTAATCCATTATAGATGTCTTGGAAACATTTCCCGCGTATATTTGGATCATTGATTTACAGTAATACCGATAATAAATGTCAGGTGCTAGGTGAATATAAGAAATCAGTTGATGAACTAGTGGATCTTCAGCCATTGAGATAGTTGAGAAATGTGTTACTTAGGACCAACCATTACCTATTTTGGTAGATGTTGTTTTTCTGGCATAGGAAAGGAAGAAATCTAAACCGGAACAAATCAAGATGTATCATCAGTCAATAAAGTCACTGATCAATCTTTGAAGATGTTATTGATGTGACTCGAAATCAATTACAATGACTCAGGCACATTTCATGCTTTGTTATCTCTTAGATCCTAAGGTTTTAAATTGTTTGTTTTTTTTTCAGTTTCGCTAATAGTTATATTGTTTCAGTATCAACTACTCTCTGATTTATAATATTGCTTATAATAAAAAACATGAACGTTTACTACAATGAAAGTCTTATTACTAAATGTGAATTATGTCAGAGAGGATATTGTATAGAATAGTTGGAATGTGGGTTGCGTTGGAATCCAGAAAGCGCGTCCCATTCTGTTTAGGACTCGTTATCGGGAAACATTTGCATCTCAGTGTTGATTTTTTACTGTGGGACTCAAACTCTGTACCGTTTGCTTCAAACGCCATTTCGTTATTCATTTAGCTACTGAGTCAAGACAGCTACTCACTTGTACAACAAATATGAGTTTTAACTTGAAATGGATTGAACTATTATTCCATTGTTGATATTTTTGACTGAAATTCTATCAATCTTGAGTGAAACACGCATCTTAGATTCTACTGTTAGCCACATCCCATCTATTCTATATTAATTTGTATCGTAAATGACTATATTGATGCAATCCTCATAGGTTATACTCTTACTACCTCCACCTTTACGGCATTTGAATCGACAACTGATGTATGTACGTACGAAGTTCCACGTTGTTACTGACTGACTGATTAAATCCTCATAGCATGCAAATATGCCAACTAAGAATGTTGAAATTTCCGTCAAAATATCATCAGTAAGATAATCCAGTTCATTTCAAGTTGAATTAGAGTGGAGATAGGCTTTGTTTGTATTGATTTTTACAACTAGTGTAGTACATGTATAAAATGTAAACACAAATACTTATGAGAAACTTTCATTTTCATTGCTTTTTAAATTCTTACTTAGCCTATATTAACACTGCATCATCTTCGCTAACATCTTTCACAACAGTACGTACTTCTAGTGGTCGAGTTGTTAGACCTCCACCTCGTGGTTCACAAGATCTGTGCCCATCTTTTTCCGAAGATTATAGTCAAAAATATAATGGTTCATTTGAACAAAAACAATCTCATTCAAGAAGAAGAAAACTAACTTCATATTCTTCAGGGAATAATACACATTCTGTAAATAAATTATATTCCAGACATAAAAACAGAAGACGTCGTCGTATTACAAATCAGTCAAAATCAATAAGAATGTCTAATTCTTCAGAAGATCTATCTAATGCATCACTCCGTCGTAGTGCACGTAAAAGAAAAATTGTTCCTAGTTTTAGTGATTTTTATGGATCAGAAGGAAATGATGAATTCGACTGATTTTTAAATGTGAATCATATAAAATGATAGTGATAACATCGTTTTTGTAAATTCTGTTCACTTTATTTTTCTCTCAGTTTTAGGCAGCATGTAGATACATATTTCCCATGTTACTTTAGTACCCATACTGTAAACCATTTGTTCAATGTAATTTGATAACTAATTTATTGTAATTCTCTGTTCCTTACATATACAGATTTATGTCTTTAATAACTGTGATTGTTTATATACATATACATATACATATATATATCTACTTCCTTTTGTCTATATACTAATTTCTGTCTAATCATTTGTCTTTTATTCGCTAAATTTTTAACTTGAATACAATTTTTTCTAGTCAAATAATTATAGTTTTCTATCTATATGACTCTCCTGTTGTCACCAATGAATGAGATTGATTAATATGTACCAATTAAATCGGTTAGATGTATATGATTAACTGATGATTAAATTGAACTTGATTCCATTAAACATAAACTAAGATATAAAAAATGAGTTAATTCTAAAGTAATAATTCTTTCGTATATCAATCAAATGAATCCATGTATGATGTGAATGTATTCTTCATTGTAATTTCTTTTCATCTAGTTTCTGAAATCGGTTCTAAAATGTATAACAGTCGGTAAATGACTCATTGAACCTCGGCAACTTCTGAATGAGATATAGCAGTTATGTTGTAGCTTATTTGCGATACAGTAGACACAACCAAATTTTTCTACTTAGATTCACCGGTTTTTATCCCTAGCTTTTTAAGAATGAATAAGATGTACGGAAACTCATTGAAATATTGTGACTGAGAATACATCAAAACATTTTGCACTGAAGATTTTTATAAGCTTTTATGGAGAAAAGGGATTATATTAGATTATTCAGATGCAAAAACTGAGAAGTATGTGATTCCGACGCAAATCGATTGTACCGTGATCGCAGTAGTACTTTGCTTACAGTTATTAATTGAAAAGTGTCCATTAAGGTCAGTCATCTACAGCGTAGTTCCAGGCACGTATATGCATCGTTCCAAGTTGCCATACCTCGTTAGCACAACAAGATAATTACCAAATTCGTGGGATCGGTTACTTCAATGATAGTAATATGCAAGGATATGATATAGTAGGAAAGAGTCAGTTCGTTGAAATGAAGTGATTCTAATCTCACTGTTTAAGACTACATAAAGAGTATATACACCACGCCACTGTGATCGATTCTGAGCCCTGTCACTCCAACCATTCGTCGCGATAGTCATGCGGATCGTAATCAAGTAGTCTGCATCGAACACCAAGGCTCAGACCAGAATTTAATGACTTTATAGATTGACGCCACGTTTTGGTTTGGCCGCTCCTAACTTTCTTCTATGCGTCTCCGACACCAATCAGCATCCGTTATTGGGCATGCGCAATAATGTAGTGAACAGAACACCAGTAGGGACGGTCGAATGTATTTGACAACAAATTACAGAACTAGTTAGTGAAATCCAACAACCATATATTAAATCGTTAATTTGCAAATTGTTCATCAATTGTCTCAAATGACTCAGAATCCCTTTGTTCTTGTATTTTCATACAAACTGCATTCTTTCTTGATTCATTATTGTTCGATCTTCTCGTCTCTCTGCTGCCAGACATTCTGTTCAGTACTCACGACATATACTACTTATGTCTACATAAGTAGCACACACCGCAGTACGTCCATGATAATTTTTTTGAGGTGCTGCAGTAACCCTCTTGCAAATAAAGATAAATACAGAAAATACCTGTTTGCGAAAATTTTAAACTGGATAGAATAACTACAACGATCACAATATCGACTTATACAAAATTAAGATAATACTACTCTTTGCCAACTTTTCTGATGTATTTCTGAGTCCGCGAAAGTCCGTGGAGCTAGATAAAATAATGATAAAAGTTCAAAGAGGATTACGAATTTTCAAGAATATACATATATGCATAAAGATATACCAAATATGTCAAAATTTTTTATAAATACAGTAATGCGAGCGTACAAAAAGGAAAGGAAGAAAAATAATATATAGTAAGGTCAGTGAGAAAAATTATTAGCTCAAAATTGCAGCTTTTGAACTCTTCGAAGATATCTCGTCGTTATTGGAGTCTCTTCTCTTTGATTGATTTTCGTCGTTGGTGTTTGAGGCTCGTGGTACAGTGATGCGACGATCTTTAAAGAATCTGTGCCTTCCGGTTGATCACATTCAACAAAGGCTGGTTTAGCTGGACTGATTGTTACCTCTATCTTCCCAGCTTATTTACGATAACTGTTATATACATCCTCGCAATCACTCTAAAGGGACCATCACAATTCAGCTCCTTTGTGGTTGTACATTATCTCTTCTAATGAGTTCATACATGCAGATTTGCAATTGCTGCGGACGAATACTCGTCGTTGCTGCAGTCTGAGAAGCGTTTTTTGCAAATCGTTCATGTTCTTCTTTGAGCACTGTAGGTACGGACACATCGATCTGCAACATTCTCCGGATAAATGTAGAGTAGTACCATATATCAACCCTGCTGGAAAACATACAATACCCTGTTTAGTTTTTGTTTTTAATCCCAGCAGGAAAAGAGAAGGCTTATTAGCCTGATCGTTGAGAGAATATTTTAACTACCTACGTAGGTCTCCAGACACATCATTTGCCATCGGAATGTAAGATATCATGCGAAACCTTTTAATTCAGAGAGGTTTCGTAAGCTGCTGGAAGAAGCGACATTCTAATTGAGCTTCTCTATCAATTATAATAACACTGAATCTATCGATGTATATCGACGAGTGTATGTTCTAATCTAATTTCGGAGTGAGGGACAGGATTCACTGCGGAACTAGTGTGACGATGGACTTTGACGTTTTGGTAATTCAAGCATTTCGTTTAGTGTTCGCCTGGCCTTTATGAATGCCTGTGTTGCATATATACTTATCGGATAACTATTAGATAACCATATCACACGTATATTCATAAACCTTTTATAATAAGTTTCCATTTTTCCCATTGGCTACTATCATACGACTTGATATTCTCAAGTTATTAGCTTCAGCACCTCTTGATCACAGCCACTTTTGGGCTTGATGTTGTATGATTGTTATATTTTACTTCATGGTATGATGTAGTCTGTTTTGTTTGTTTATAAACGAAGTATATATGAAACATATGATTCATACAATGAAAGCTGATATTTTGTTCTAGACTCAACAGGTATAGATAGGAGGAAAGGATCAAATTGAATTTTAGGCTGTTTGTACCGGTCAACACATCATTGGTTCGGTACAGTGCCACGATTGTGTAAGTCGTGTTCTGATTGGCGACTTTATCACGTGATGATTAGGAGAGCTAGAAACACAACATCGTCCGCTCAGCAAGTACGTTATATGGATCATGATGAATCTTAGCTACCACAAAATTCGTGTGGACGGAATCATTAGTCACCCTCTTACCCTAACGATATGGTCACCGCTATTATTTTGTTGTCTTTGCAGGTCAACTCCTAAGTCGAAGTTCTTTAGTTAATCAATGACTATCATAAGCAAGGACACATCTTTGTTACATCTTGTGGCCTTGGATCTTATTAATTTGTAACGTAAAGATACCACCAACTAGAGTACATTGACTTATCGACTGGTCCAGTGACACATAAATTCGTACGAACGCTCTACAGTCTTTGTCAGTCATTCTCCCTGCGTAGCACTGCCTGTTACGCCAAGAACACCAATCTCAGCTTACGCGATATGAATCATGTATTTCGAAAATACCGGGTTTATACGAAAGCCAAACAGACCACATCACACCACAAAATAGCAAATAACATTTGTACAAGATCCAGCCCAAAGTGGCTGTGATTGTGGGAGAGTGTAATTAGAAGACTGGGCATAATTCAAGAACGGTAAATCGTCTGAACCATATTTGCAGAAGTTGGTTAACGTGATCATATGTGTACATCTCTGAGCGTTTACACAAAGTAAACAGATAAATATTCAAGGGTTTTTAGTTAAGACAAATCACTCTTATTAATGCGTGAAAATAAATATAAGTTTGATGACTTCTAAGGGATTAGTTTAAATCATGGTTAAATATTGACCTGCTTGGTGGATTTTGGAATCACATGTTTTTGTAAATGTTTTCTAAATTGTCACTTTTATTTAATGAAGAATGGCTACTGAAGCAAATGAGCAACCTGGATGGTAAGCTAACTCTTCGGATCGATCTAACTAAACCTAAAAGTTAAGCGATCACATCTGACAGACTTATGACTTGGTAAGAACAAAGAGCTGTCAATCTGCATGGTTCGAACTGCACAACATGAACACAAAAATTACTTCACCAGTTCCAGCACACTAATAAAATTCAGATACATTGGCGTGGTGTTTGTATGAACTAACGATCCACTTGTACTTGTTGAATGCGTAATTTCAAACTCCAAATACAGTACATTCGTTTGTGCTTATCTAGTAATTCTAGATCTGAAGTGTTTATCCAGTTTCTATACACTCGATAGTTTGAATAATGACTTTGTGTTTATCGTTGTCGTGAACTATGAAGTTAGAACCTAAAGTTCTATCCCGTTGATAGAAAAGTTGCTCAGGCGGTTGATAAACAACAAACGTCCCCAGTAGTGCCTGACCTCTGTATGTTTCGATATGAGGGAATACTTAAGAGTTCGCAGGGAGCTAAATTCTCACACACACAAGTATACCAAAAAACAGATTCCATATCTCTTGGTGTTTTGAAGCTAGTACGCACAATGTATAGTCTACGAGACGTTGAAGTGTTACGTTTAGCTTTCACGTAAGAAATCGTATCTACAACTCTTCAGCTGAAATTCCAGTCACAGTTAGCGGATACCAGGAACGCAACTCCGTCACTTCTGCAGATAAGTTGTAATCTCTAGGATTCGCGAGATTATTTTGAAAATGTTAATGAATATGTGCATGAAACGTGGTCTTGAATTACTTGCAAAACTTTGTTTACAATTCTTCAGACTGTCCAATTCAAAGAATTGGCTGGACGTACATAGAACTTGTCGTCCTGTCGTTAATATTCTTCGCATTCAAACTTTTCATATGCATCATCGACCTTGTGAAAGGGAAAAGTTGCTTAGTCTGCCGTTATAAATAAGTAGACGACCTGTATCCTGGCTTGTAACAGGGAATATCTTGACAATGAAACAGCTCTTCAACTCGTACAGTTCATGTACGAGTGTTAGGTTCAGTAAAGGGAGAAACAATTATTGAATTTCCTGCGTTTACCTCAGCTGACTCATTGGCTTAAAAATGTCACAAGTATTCGGAGTTTGACAACACCTTAACCAGTAGCACCTTTTGTAATCAAGACGTTTCAATCCAGTGAAATCTGAGGCCAGAAGCAAAGAGACTCGAATATGTATTTCATAGAATATTGATATATCGTAAAGTGATTAATCTAATCTGGCTAGCGGTTGTAGGAGAAGTGAAGCACGATGTACTCACTGGTGATCTGTTGCGGACGCATGAC